TTTCTTTTTCAATTTAAATTTTATGGGGATAACTCTTAGACAAGAACCAAGAAAGTGGCCCTGGCACCCCACATCTGCACCATGGTCGGACCTGCAGCTATCCCCTGTCCCCTTCCCTCTGGCTAGTGTCCCCTTCTTCCAGTGCGAATGAGCCACTTATCCAGGGAACCAGCACGTCCCTAGGTTAAAACAGTGGCCTTGGCTTTGTTATTGGACTTTTTCTTCTTGGTGCTAAGGATTAAAGCCAGCACTTCACTCGTGCCATTCTGCCTGTCCTGCAGAGCGAGTGGTCCTATTTTCCTAATAAATGTTTAATTGATGCCTTTTCTTCCGTTTAGTTTTCGCTAATTCAGGAAAGGAAAGCTGCTCACTATGTCAGGGGTCACTGGAGAGATTGATGTTGCTGCTACATGTGGGCCCTTGGCCCCTGGCAGGCCCAGTCTGCACAGTGTGACATGAGCATCTCCCCTTTCCTCTGTACATGGACAGCTGCATTTGCCAGTTTAAGAAAGTAAATAAGGCCCAGTGTGTGGTGTGTGCCTGAAATCCCAGCACTGGAGAGGCTGAGGCAATAGGATTGCCATGAGTTTGAGGCCATCCTGGGCTATGTAATGAGACCTGTGTCAAAAAAAAAAAAAAAAAAAAAACCTTTTTTAAAATTTTTATAAGAATGAAGCCCCGGGGATTTAGCTCAGTGGCATAAGCACCTGCCTGCCAAGCTCGAGGTTGTGAGTTCAATTCTCCCCCCCCCCCAAAAAAAAGTGAATAAAGCCCTTTCTGGGCCCGGGATGTAGCTCGGTGGCCAAGTGTGTGCTCAACAAATGCAGGGTCCTGAGTTCAATTTCCAGTACTGGGAAGAAGAAAGAATAAGTTCCTTTTGCGTCTTGCTTGTCCCACAGGTAAGGGGGTTGTCATTCCCTGCTGGGGAGCACAGATCTCCCTGCCTCCATCCCCTTCCTTCTAGCAGTTGTCTGCTCCATGCTATTGGACAGTTATTTCTCTGTAGCACATTTGATTGGTTCCTGGTTTTGCCCAGCTGCCCTGGGGCCCCTTACACATATGCAGATGCTCACAGTTCCCAGCTTTTCCACCTGGCTCCCTTGTAAGCTTGAGGTTAAGGCTTTGTGGTCCCTTTTCTGCCCACTCTGCTCCTCACTGTCCCTGCTCCAGCCACACTGACCACTTCACTCCTCTGCACCCAGGTCAGGTGCATTCCTGGTGCAGGTCTTTGCACTTGCTGCTCCTTATACCTGGATTGCACTTCTCCAGGTATCTTATGTGGCTCCTAGTCACCCCCTTCAGCTCTTTGTTTCAATTGTCACCTTGCCATGAAGACCTTCCTTGGTCATCTTTCCTGCATGTCCCCCTTGTCCACACAGCGCTTACTTCCTCACTCAGTTCATTTTACTCATAGCACTTATCTCCTCTAGACTCACCTTGCTTACTTCTGTCTCCTACCAACTGCTAGCCAGTAGCCTCTCCACGCCTGGACTTTCCTTTTTTACAGTTTCCAAGGGGGAACTGGGAATCGAACTCAGGACCTCACGCTTGCCAGGCAGGCGCTGTGCTGCTAAGCTGTATCCCCAGCCCTTCTTCCTTGGTTTACTGCTTAGTGTGTAGGGCCATCAATTGTGTCTGACATCAAAGATTTTGAATGAATCAAGGCCGAGATTTCCTCAAACATGACCTGGCCTTACCTGCTCCAGGGCCCACAGCTCTCTGCTTGGCACTTGCCTTCCTTACTCTTTATTGTTGTATTTGGTTTTTGAAAGAATCTCACTTTGTGTTTCAGACTGGCCTCAAACTCAGGGCGATCCTCCTGCCTTGGCCTCCCTCTCCTGCTTTTGTTTATGAGCACCCCTCACCCTACCTCATTGCCCCACCTTGTGCTTGGGGCCCCATCTAGCCATCTGAGGGTGTGTACTGATGGGCCCTGGATCCAATGAGGGAGCCCTGCAGTCCTGGAGGTGACCCAGGACCCTGGACACCGAAGGGCCCGGGGCCAATACAGCTCTGCTGCCCACAGCTCTGACACTTGGGTGAACTGTGCAGCATTTCCAAGCTGGCTGACTTTCGTCATCCATAAAGAGAGCCAAGAATACAGCCATCTGCCAGTGTTGTAGGTCCAGGCATGGTAGTGGCACTGTGTGGTGTTGGTTTTACCCTCGAAGCCTTTTCCTGTGGGAGTGGTGACATCTGATAGACTGCTGTGCAAACAGGAGGGAGGCCCCGAGCAGATCCCGTGATCCCTGGTCTTGCCCTGCTCACCTTCCTGCAGGAGGAGGAACACGCCTGTCACCTGAGTGTGGGAGAGCCGCATGTGGCTCTCTGCATGCTGGCGTGGCAGGACCACAGGAACTACCGATGGGCCTCTGGCTTCCTGGGGGGTTGTTCCCACACAGGCAGCAGGCTCTCAGAGGCAACGGAAGAGCCTGTGATCGGGTTCACTAACAGCTTTTGTTCCCAGGCACATTCCTTAGGGGAGTATCTGGGCACCCCAACCTTCCCAGGCCCCATTCCCTATCCCCAGCAGGTGCTAGACCCCAGACCAGGTTGGGGAGAGGTGGAGTGCACTGCTCCCCAGCCTCCGCTTGCAAGCTTGGCCTCTGCCTGCTGAGAGGCCTCTCTTCTCTGGCTTTGCAGCTGGCTGCTGCATGTTTGTGCTCTGTTGCTGCCTAAGCCACAGTCTACGGGGACCAGACCACTGTTCTCAGAATGAGACCTGAGACTAGGTGTGGTGGCGCACACCTGTACTGTCAGCACTCGGGAGGCTGAGGCAGTAGGATCAAAGCACTTTGGAGGCCAACCTGGGCCACATAGTGAGTTTAGAGCCTGCCTGCACTGCAGAGTGAGACCCTGTCTCAAAACAGCCTGAATAAGACTTGATGGGAGCAGAACCCAGCCCCTTCCCCACATGGACCATGGCTTCATCTGCTGGCCTTTTCAGCCCCTGGACCCCATGCTTTTTGGCCATTTGCCATATTTTCACCACATGAGCATCTTGGCATTTGGTGTTCACTCCATCCTCGCTTCACTCCAAGCCTCACTCAGGTGTCACTGCCTTAAGAGCCATTGCACCTGAAACAGCAGCCCCTACCTGCCCATCTCTCCTCGGTGTCCACCTGCTCTGCCCTGTGTTCTCTGTTTCCATTTATCTGCCCTACCGTGACATTACTAGGGGGAGACATTTATTGAGGTGTAATTCATAGACCACGTGATTCACAAATTTAAAATATGTAATACAAAGATTGTTTCTAATTTTTAATATTTTGTTTTAATGGTGCTGGGATAGATCTGGGGCCTCACATGCGCTAGGTAAGTGCTCTGTGCTGAATTACACCCCTGCCTGCCCAGCCTGTGGGCCATAACAAAAGTCATTTGCAGAGCATTTCCCTTATCCCACTAAGAAACTCATACCTACCAGTCCCCTTCCCAGGCAGCCTCTAGTGCACTTTGCCTCTGCAGATTTCCCTGTAAATGAAACCAGGTGCCATGTAGTCCTCTGCCCTCCTTCCCTTAGCATTAATGTTTTTAGGGTTAACCCACATGATAGTATGGTATGCATTTTCCCCTTTATTCCATCATAGGAAGAGACCACGTGGTGTGCATTTTCCAGTTGGTTGACATTTGGGTTGCTGTTGTTGGTGTGTGTGTGTGTGCGCGTGTGTGTGTGCGTGCGTGTGTGTGTGTGTGTGTGTGTGTGTGTGTGTGTGTGTGTGTATGTTTTAAATGCTGGAGATTGAACTCAGAAGAGCACCATCACTAAGCTACATCCCCAACCCTGTTTTTTTTGTGGTCCCCCCTGCAAATGTGAGACAGTCTCAAAGCATTGTCCTGGTGAAACTTGAACTTGTGACCCTCCTGTCTCAGCCTTCGGTGATGGAATTACAGGCACCAATGTCCAGCTTGGCTTTCACTGTTTGGCAGTTGTAGATAACTCAGCTGTGCATTTACACTCCAGTTTTGTGTGGACAGAAAGATTTCCTTTCCGTTGAGTGTAAAGCTCGGGGTGGAAGAGCTGAGTCATGTGTGGTAACTGTTTAACCTTTGTAGTGCGGTTCTCAGGGACAGAGGAAGGTACTGCTGGCCCCATGCTCCCATGGGTTCCCCCAACAGGCTCTCCTGGGCTCTCTATTCAGGAGCTGCCTGACTCAGAATCAGTCTGGCAGTTGTCCCGTGTCCTGTGGGTAACCCAGGGTGTAGAGGGGTCACTTCCTTAGCCTTCTGTCCGCTTGGTCATCCAGTTAGGTGGGATGAGCTGAGGTACTGTCTCTCATCGCCCCACCCTTCCTGAGCACCAGCTGTGCCAGGGGCTGGGAGCATAGGGGGCTGCTACAGAGTGCAGAGCTCTCACCATGCACCATCTCTGTCCCCAAGTCCTGCTAAGCCCCCACGGCAGTCAGGAGGGGCTCCCAGTCCATCCTGGCACAAGGTGTTACCTGGTTAGTAGGCTGGGTTCATGGTTGTGTGCTCAGGGCCTAGAGCTGGTTCAGGCCTTGTTCAGCCCCTGCCAGGTGTTGGCCTCAGGAAAGTGACACAGCCCCCAGAGCTCCTGCTGTTTCGGGAGTGGGTGACAAAAAAGGCTGCCTGGACAGTGGCTGGAGGGCTTTGGCATGGATGCAACCACCTATCTTTGGTCCTTCACGTGGGGTCCCGTGGCCACTGGCTTTTCAGCTCTTTGAACACTGCCTGGCACATGGGAAGCATCGTGCAGCAGCAGCTATTAGGGTCACAGTGGTCACTGCCACTGTTAGTGGTGGCGAAGGGTCTCTGGCATGGCAGAGCTGGCTTGAGGACCTGCGTTACGCTGCATTACTACCTAGCAGTGGTTTTTTTATGTTTCCACAACAGTTACACTAGCACCTTGTGAAAACACAGCCCCTTTGTGAGGCAGAGTGAAAAATGAGAGCTGCCTCCCTCCCACTGGCAGCAGGGCCACTAGGGATTGGCCCTGTGTCTGCTCCCCATTTGCCCCCCGACTCACGCCCATCCCTCTGCAGGGAGGAGGTGCAGGAGAACTGTGTCCGCTGGCGGAAGAGGTTCACCTTTGTGTGTAAGATGAGCGCCAACCCAGCCACGGGCCTGCTGGACCCCTGTGTTTTCCGTGTGTCTGTGCGCAAGGTGAGGCCAGTTCCTGGACCTGGGCCAGGGTGCTGTGAGGGGGAAGGCTGGAGGGTGGGTGTGGTGCTGGTGGCCTGGGGGGTTTTAGGACCTCCAGGGGAAAATGTGAGGAGTTGCTCTGCTCTTTTTGCTGTCCCCCTGCTCAGAGTTAGGGAGAGCTGGGGAGATCCACAGGGGTGTGGAGCTTCCTAGTGACTCTGCTGCTTGTGTTTCCCTCCCTGTGCAGGAGCTGAAAGGTGGAAAGGCTTATTCTAAGGTAAGGAGCTGCGTGAAGGGCAGCAGGGGACTGGGTGGCACAGGACATCCAGCCCCTCTCGGCCTAGACGGGAACACAGAGCCTTCCCTCAGATGGGTCGTTTGTGGAATGTCCTTATCAGCAGTCAGCTCTTGGTCTGCCTGCAGCGTTTCCTCGTTTCCTCTGTGCAGTGCCCTGTGACAGTTGATAATGATCAGGCTGTCACTGTCCCTCTCCTCCCTTCTCTAGGCTGCACTGTTGCTGCTGGTTAGGATCATTGCAGACTTTTTTGGGTGGCGCTAGGGCTTACACCCAGGACCCCTCACATACTAGGCTCTGTCACTGAGCTGCACTCCCAACCCTAGACCCTTTAAGGGAAAAAGTCTTCTCCGTGGGCAGCCGTGATCAAAGGTGCTGCAAGCGCTGTGGTTTCCGAAGGCGCACCTTGGGCAGCTGGGCCTTTTACTTGCCTGGGCTGTCATGAGCGTCACTGCAGATTTCTGTGTGCTTTCCTGTGGCAGCAGCATCCCCTTGCATGGCTGGTGACAGCTGACTTCCCCAGTCCCTGCTGTTGGACATCGTGCTGGTGCCAGGTTTCAGCCCTGACCAGTGAGGAGGCCTTTGTGTGGGGAAGATTGGGGAGAAGAGGCCCTGCCCCCTCTCTGAGCCCCTTTCTCTGGGCGACTCTTGACCTCCCCCCCCAGGCTCCTGGAGGCGCCCAGCAGTGTCCCAGTCTGGAAGGCCTGAGGAAAGTGCTGTGGCCACTCAGCTGACCAGAGCAAATCCTACAGAGCATGCCCTGGCCCGGAGCTCTATGTGAGAAGCTTGCCTGGCATGCACGAGGCCTTGGGCTCCACAGCACAGCTCTCCCACCCGCCCAAAAACACCAGACAGAAGCAGAGGGCAGAGTGGCTAAAGCCAGCTGGGGAGGGGCGCCTGTCAGAGCAGAGATGTGTATTGGTTCATGTGGGTGAGGACAGCCACCCCAGCAGGGAGAAACCTCCAGCGTGCTGCCTGGACTGTCCGGCAGGTGCCGTCCTCTGTGACCACGCCTCTGCCACAGGCTCTTCACCCTGTCACACAGGGGAGGAGACTGAGGCCCAGGGAGGTGTCAGGTCCTGGTTCTGGTCAGTGCCAGTTCGCACCCTGTCTGCAGGTCAAGCTGTATGTGCTTGATCAGGTCACTTTCCTCCCCAAACTCTGTATCCTCATCTGTAAAATGCAGAAGAATTGCCGGCAAGACTTTCCCAGGCCCCACTCAGCTCCCCCTGGTCTGTGAATGGTGCCCCCGGCCCCATTCATCTCATCCTGGGCTATGCCGGCTGGGACCCACACCCAGCTCCCAGAATCTGGAGCCTGTGCCCCTTAACCCTACTTGTATGCAGCTGGTGCTCGGTAAATACCCATGATTGTCCCTGGTGTCTCCAAGTCCATCTCCCTCGCCTCACCCTGACTTTTCTCTCCAGTCAGGCAGGCCTGGCCTCCTTCCAGCCCACTCCCTGCCCAGGCAGCCGAGGAGCAGCCTGAGTCCCCAAGCTTCAGTCAGACTCTGGGCTCTGCCTCTCACCCCAGGCCCTACCAGGGGACTCCGCTGGGGATCCCGCTTACTCTGCAGGGCTCCTCCCTTCTGGGCCCTCCATGTCCCATCAGCCCACCCTGCTACCAGGTTCTCACGGGCCTTCCCTCCTCCCCTCCCCAATGTTCTGGCAGCTCCCCACAGCACAGCCTTGTTTCCCAGGAAACAATGCGACTGTGTCACAGACAACAATGCCCTTTCATCTCTGGAGCATGGCCCTGGTGCACACTGGGACGCAGCACAAAAGGTGCTTTGTGCCCCTCAGGGTTGCAAGCTGTATCTTTGCCACTTTGGTGCCACCGACCCAGAGTCTTATCCTTGGGACCAGTTATGCAACAGCCAGTCAGGGCCATAGGGCGGGCCCAGGGGCTCTGCCTGCCCTCCATTCACCACCCCAGCCCAGTTAACCCTTTGGCATCTCCTGGCTCTCACCCACACTCCTGCAGCTCCCAACAAGCCTCTTCCCCTCACAGCTGGGCTTTGCCGACCTGAACCTGGCTGAGTTTGCAGGCTCAGGCTCCACGGTGCGCTGCTGCCTGCTTGAGGGGTATGACACAAAGAATACTCGACAGGACAACTCCATCCTCAAGGTACTGGGCAACTCGCGGCCTCCCCACCCCACGTCTACCTCGGAATTCTCATCCGAATCCCTCAGGGTGTTGCTAAAAAATACCACTTCCCACCTGGCCAAGCAGCCGGAAGTACTGGAAGATGTGGGCCCACGAGTGAGGGAAGGTGGGCTCCAGCAGTGTGCAGGGGTTTGGCAAGCCCCCCAGCGAGATCAGCCTGTGCTGAGTGCTTTTGTGGCCTGTCTCACAACCATGGCAGTTGCCCAGGTGTGCCCAGGTCTCGTGGGGGAGCACATAAAAGTTCAGTTATTTGCCCTGGAGGTGGGTAGGCTGACACACGACCCCACTGCCATTGGGCTCCACAGCTCGGCTCCGACACATTGCCCTGTGTGCCCAGGGACCTCCTGGCTCCTGGTGGGTATTGCTGGGAGAACTGATGTCCTGGACTCATGATCACTGTGGCTGAGGGCCTAGGGCCCTCCACCCCCACCCCGTCGGCTGCACACAGGTTGCTGATGGCTGGTGCTGCTTCCCGCCTCAGACAGTTTCTCTTTGGCCTCTTAGGAACAGAGATGTCTGGGCATGGTCCTCCAGTTCAGCGTCATCTTTCCAACAAATGCGTGTGTGTTAATGTCACTGCCAAGCGCTGACCCAGGGGTAGTCAGCTGACTCAGTGTGGAGCCTAGGCATGAAGTGGTGGGCTCAGCTTCCAGAGGCCCCCAGAAAGGTCCAGGGTCCAGGCAGCAGCCAGACTTTTTAGCTTCCCTCATGGTTGCAGAGCATGGGATTGGAGCTCAGGAGGCCCTGTGTTCAGGTTCTGACCCACAGCCTGCCCACAGGGATGCAGTAGATGGTCGGTCAGGTCCCCTTCTTGAGTCTTGGCTCCCTCATCTGTAACCTGGGGAGTCATCTACTCCTACTCAGGAGGCTGCTGTGATAATCCATGAAACTCTCAGCTTAGTGGTCCCCACTTGGGTCAGGGCTCCTCAGAGTGCCCCTTTCCTAGTATCACACCAGCTCATCCTAGGTTTGGGGGCCCAGACTTCACCGGTTTTGGCTGTTGCCACAATCTGCCCAAGTGGCCACTGAATTCCAGGTTGGCTCCATGATTCGCTTTAGTCCTCAAAGCTTCCCTGCAGAGGTCCCTGTGTGTCCCCACCCCATGTAGGGCTCCATGAGCTCCCATTCCCACCGGGGTTGGCACTGTGCCCCCTGGGCAGCGTTACAGAGGTGCTCAGTCAGGATGCGAAGTAGCAGGCGATAATGGCTCACCCTCCCTGGCCAGCCTGCATCCCACCATGATTCCTCAGTGCTGCAGCAGGCAGGCCTGGAGCTCCCTTTCCTCTCTTTGAGGGAATGACTCCTAGAGTCAGGCAGCTGCACTCGTAGCCAAGAATGGGTGGTGGGGGGCCCCTGAGGTCCTGGCCCCTCTGAGACAGGAGCCAGGAGGCGCTGAGTCCCCCCTCTTCCCCAGATCACCATTGGGATGTTCCTGCTCTCCGGAGACCCCTGCTTCAAGACGTGAGTGCCACCCACCTGGGGGGTTGGGAGTTTGGTCCTTGGCACCATGGTGGGGGGACAGGGCCTCTTCTTTCTTCCAAGCTATGGGGCTCCCTATCTAACATGGGACACTCCAGTCACACCTCTTTCCCCCACAGGCCACCATCCACTGCCAAGTCCATCTCCATCCCCGGCCAGGACACTTCTCTGCAGCTGACTTGTAAAGGCGGCGGGACCAGCAGTGGTGGTGGTGGCAGCACCAACTCCCTCACAGGGTCCCGGCCCCCCAAGGCCCGGCCCACCATACTGGGCTCAGGTACCACTGCCCACCTGCCTGCCTATCCCTGCCAAGGCCCATACTGTCACCGCAGCAATGTCCTGGACAGGTGCTTAGGAGGGGAGCTGGTGGCTGGCATTGAATGCTTCTGGCCTCGCCTCCATTGCCCCAGGGTCACAGACTAGCCTGACGAGAAAAGCTGGTGTTAGGGTTAGGGTTAGGGTTAGGGAACTGTAGGTGACCACAGGCCTGGAGAGGAACCTGCTCCCAGCTGTAGCGTGGGGTCTTGCCCACCCAATTGCAGTGACCTGGAGTGGCCATTGCATCTCTACAGTCTCAGTGTCCTCTGGAAAAGGGGATTGCTGGTAATAGCTAACTGGTAATCCCTGGTTTCCTTCAGATGCTACCTGAGCTAAGGTCACAGCCCACTGGGACTATATGCCTATCTGGCTGGCAGTTACCTCTTACCACTTACAGTCTCTATGTAGTTCACCCCACTATGTAATTCATGCTGGCCTGAACTCGGGAGATCCTCCTCCCTGAGGCCTGGCTATTAGTACATTCTTGTTAGTGCTAATGTGATGGAGATCCAGAAGGAGCTCAAATCCCCAGAGGCAGCAGTGAGGCATTGGGTGGTGCTGCCCATAGAGGATACCCTGGCCCACCCCCAAGTGTTCCCTGGCCCTCAGGTGAGATCTGTCACTTGCAGGGTTGCAGCTGGGCTCCAGAGGTGTGAGTCTCGGCCCCACCCACCCACATGTGGGCTCAGCTGGGAGGCAGAAGGCCCCAAGCTGACCTGTGAGCAGAGGAGCAGAGCTGATCTGTGCATCCTAACACTTGGGAGGTTGAGGCAGGAGGATCACCAAAAGTCCTACACCAGTGTGGACTACATAGCAAGACCCTGTTATAAAAGAAAAAACAAGCAATTAAAGAGGACACAAGTCTGGGGCAACTCAACAGATGCTTGCTGGGCATTCTGGCCCTCGGGCCTGAGAGCTGTGAAGGACTTGTGACCTCGGGGCCCAACTCTGGGCCTGCCTGTCCTGCAGAGCCAGCCAGGCAGAAGCTTGGGGTTTTGCCTATTGTGCTGGAGGCTGCAGGCAGGGGCAGAAGCCCAGCACTGCTGCTGTCCAGCTGCAGGAAAGGGAGATCTGGGGAAGAGGCCACCCCAGTGCAGCAGCTACCCTTGCAGTGCCTCTCCCGGGTAGGATGGGAGCTGAGTGCCCATTTGCCCTGCAGAGGACCTGTTGGAGACTCAAAGTGTCCAGTGCTTGCTGGAGACGAGCTTGCCGAGTCCTTCCTTCCTGGCTGAGAGGAGCCAGGGTCCCACCTGCTTCCCCAGTGTCCCCTACTCAGAGTGCCTGGAGGCTGCTATCCCAGCCCTGGGAAGCGGGCCTGCTCCCCTCCTGCACCCCATTCTCCTTCCTGTTCACTCCCCCTCCACAGACTCAGCTCAGTACACCCTTAGGGCTTTTGCCTGTGCTCTTCTATCCCGAAGGCCCTGTCCCTGCTGCCTTAAGTGGGGCTCGCTGTCTGCCTCCCACATTCTGAGAGTCTAAGATTTGGTGTTTGTTTTTATTTTTGTTTTTGTTTCGTTTTTGAGGCAGTATCTAGCTTTCTAGTATAGGCTGACCTCAGACTCAACAGCGAGCCTCCTGCTTCTACCTCCTGCTTGCTGAGATTATAGCCGTGCGCCACCACCACTGGCAGGTTTTTTCCATCCCTAGAGGGGCCCAGCCCCAGTGTCCCTCCCTATGCCCCTCACTATCTTGAGTGAATGTAGCTCGTGTTCCATGGAGTGCTCTTCCTCTTCTCTGGCCGGTGACAGGTGCTCTATCAGGAGGTCCCCATCGGTGTCCAGAATGACTGACTCGGCCTCAGGGTGATCTGTGGCTGGGAACCGTTGGCTGCTGCTCAGTTAGTTTTCTAATCTGTCAAATGGGGACACAGAGCACTCTGCAGGAAGCTGGCAGGAGGGTGGGCCCACTGGTAACCTGTGTCCCCTTCCCCAGGGCTGCTGGAGGAGCCCGACCAGAACCTGTCCAGCCCCGAGGAAGTGCCACACTCTGGCCACTCCCGCAGCTCCAGCTATGCCAGCCAGCAGTCCAAGGTCTCTGGTGAGTGGCCTGGCCCTGCACCTGTAGCCCCCCCGCAGCCCGAGATGCCCAAATCTGACGCTGCCTGCCACTGCCTGCCCCTCAGGCTACAGCACGGAGCACTCATGCTCCTCCAGCCTGTCCGACCTCACACACCGTCGAAACACATCCACCAGCAGCAGCGCCTCCGGTGGCCTGGGCCCAGCAGTAGAGGGCCCTGAGATTGGCGAGCGTGAGCACCGGCCCCCTGAGAAGCCACCGAGACCCCCTCGGCCTCTGCACCTGTCCGACCGCTCTTTTCGGTGAGTCCCTGTCTCCCAGCGGGTCCCTCGGTCCGGACAGTGACAGTAGGTACGCATGTGGGTTAGGGCCATCGTACAGGCCACAGCCCCAAGCCTGATGTTCTAGTTTTGTGTCTGTAAACATGTGATTTGAGCCTTAGGTCCCTGTGTGTGGCTGTGCGGCCCTGAGCAGCTTCCTTAACCTCCCGGGTCCCTGTGCCCTGCTCTGTCCACCGGGTAAACAGCACCTGCATCCGTGCTCAGAATATTCCAAGTGCTGTAGGTTTGGGTTGTTACTGTCTTGTTGCCTTTGTGACCATGGTGACTGACTCTGCCCCATGCAGACGGAAGAAGGACTCTGTGGAGAGCCACCCGACCTGGGTAGATGACACTCGGATCGACGCGGATGACATTGTGGAGAAGATTGTGCAGAGCCAGGACTTCACGGATGGCAGCAACACTGAGGGTAAGCCATCCCCCCACCCTGTGACTCCTGGAGCCATGCCCGCCTGTTCCAGGGCTGTTCCCCCATCGCCCACCTTCGTCCTCTCTATCCCCACAGACAGCAACCTTCGGCTGTTCGTGAGCCGAGATGGCTCCACTACGCTGAGCGGCATCCAGCTGGCCAACAGGTAGGGGCCAGGCACCTTGGGACGGGCAGTGAGAGCTGAGCTGGCTCATCTGCACTGCCTGACCCTGGGCCAGTCACGCCTCTGAGTCCTGTCTGCCCATTTGGGTGGCTTCCCAGGGTCCCCATGGGAGGTACCCGACCCAGAGCTCAGCATAGCACAGGGACTTAATGCTGTTTGTTGTGGGCCCCACTTTCTTTCTCCCTCTTGGATCTGCAAGCCCCTAAACTGGGGACCAAATAAGTATTTAGAGAGAACCTCCTACACCCTGGATGCTGAGCCTATGCCAGGACACAGCTGTGAACAGTACGCGGAGGAGGCCCATGTGTGCAGAGTCCCCTCAGAAGCTTCAGGCCTGGGTTAATGAAATGGGCGAGTGGAGGAGCTGCCGGTGCATGGCCAGCGAAGGGTTTTCCCCATGCCATTGTGGGAAAAAGGCCCAGGCAGAGGGGACACTGCTGGGCAGCATTGTGCCCAGGACCTGCCCTCCTGTGCTGCTCTGCTGCCCTCTCCTGGCCCAGGCGTGAAATTACAGCTGTCATCTCCCAGGCAATGGGCAAATGGGGCTTACTGAAGTCTGTAAAACAAAAAACCCTCCCTGATCCCCAAAAAGCTAAGGAAACTGGGGCAGCTGCGTGGACAGGAAGCCAGTCTGGTTGGCAGCAAGACCATGGCAGCATAGCTCACAAAGCATGAATTGCCTCCACTGCTTCCAGAGGAGGGCTGGGCCTCAGCAGAAGAAGAACTGAGTGGGCTCCTTGGCTCTCCGCTGCCCTCTTGGGAAGCTCACAGTCCCACTGGGCCTCAGTTACTTCATCCATCAGTGGAGGCCGGGCACAGTCCTTCCCTGCCAGGGTTATTGTGAGGTGTCAACAGCACACCCAGGTGTGTAAGCTGTTGCCCTCTGCAGGACATAGGCACTGCCTGTGCCAGCTCTCTGGACCCCACAGGCTCTGTCACTTAAACATCTCTGTCACTCCAGGCAATGACTTAAGATCTCAGAGCCTTAGTTTTAGCTCCCAGACTAAAGAGGCTGTTGCAAGTGCCTGCCTGTGCAATAGTCCCAGGGGCCTGAGGGCCTGGCCGAGTGTGCATCAAGGGTGACTGTCCCTGTCTCTCCCCTCCACAGGGTCTCCTCCGGGGTCTATGAGCCCGTCGTGATTGAAAGCCATTGAAGAGCGAGTATCAGGCTAGAATGGGGCCTGTCCTCTGGGGCACCAGACCTGCGCCCTTCTGCAAGGAACCAGCTCCCTCTGGTCTGCACTGCGTCTCGTCTGCACCTGCTCCACACACTAGCCACCTGTTCCCAGAGCATCATTCCATGGTCCCCATCCTCCCGGGATCCTCCGGCTGCCAGGGCCCCACCACTGTGAATATTCTGAACCACTAATGTGCTGGGTGGGCGGGCCCATGCTGAGAGCAAGAGGGAAGGAGGGTCCTGTGAGACAGCCCCTCCCCCTCACCAAGGACTCAAGAGGTGGCTCAGTGTGTGGGCCGCCTGTGCCTGCAGGGCTGTCACTCTTGTCCTGTGACCATGCACCTCGGTCGAACCAGCTTCAGCCTGGCACCGACAGGGCCTTGCTCCATCGCCCCTGGCCCTTTGGGGGCCAGACCACCCTCAGAAGCCTCCACCTGTGACCCTGCTTAGTGTTCCAGCCGTCCCTTCTTGTGTCCTAGGGGACCCGCAGGCGGGCTCCTCCTGGGAGTCAGACCTCAGACCCAACTCACTCCAGATTGAGCCTCCCTGCATCCCCCGACGAATGTCCTGCTGCCCTGGCAGCCTGCACTTTGCACATGTTGTCCCCAGCACAACCCCACTCCTAATCCCTCCAAGCCTCCTGGGCGCTGCCTGCTGTGCAGACGCAGACCCAGGTCTGCAGCCCTCTGGGACTTGGGACTGACTCGGGACTCGGCTGCCTCTGCCCCCCTGCCTCACCCAGCTCAGGCCTCACCGTGCTGGGAGAGCGCCTAGCGTTGCCATGCCCGCTGCCAGGGCTGGCCCCTGAGCAGCTGGCTCTCCACAGGAAGAAGGCGAAGCCCTCTCCATGCCCTCAGATTTGTGCCCCTGCCAAGGCCAAGGCTGGTGAGGCTGGCATGCTGTGGCTGAACTGGCCTGAAGCTGGCTTCCTGCCAGACAAGCCTCAGCCCTCCTCTGGCGAGAAGCACCCCCACTGCTGTGCAGAGGGGGGGTCCCTAAGATGTTTTCCAAGCAGGGAGCATTTTGGCCCTGCTCCCCCCAAAGCCTCTGCTCTCTGCACTTTGGCCCCAGTCTTCGGAACTTGCTTGAAGGAGGGTCTGGCTGCAGCCAGGCCCAAACAAAACCCCCAACCCTTTTAAGTTGCCCCCATGTTGTATAAACCCAGCGGGCTGGTGTTTACTTAGCTTTCTAGGTTCTTTCTTTTTGCCTTTTTTTTTTTTTTTTAGTTCACAGTTCAATATTTCCTCCTCCTGGGTGAGGAGGAGGCACCTCTGTTCTCTGTCAGCTGTGCCCCAGCAGTGCTGGGGACCCGGGTGGGCTGGGACGCTGGTGTGGGTGCCCTCCCCAAGTCGGGAGAGTTCCCGATTTTGCCCTGCCCCAGCCGCCAAGAGTGGGCTTCTGGGTTTCAGAAGTCCCTGGTGTTGGGACCAGAGCATTTGTGGGGCTTTTGTTGTTGTCATCCTTTTAATCACCTAATAACTTTTAGAAATGAATGTTGGAAAGTGCCTGTGAGGCAGGACAGCATGTGGGCTCTGGCTGGACTGGTTCTGGTCAGCTCAGAGCATCCCTTCCTGCCTGGCAGAATCCTGGCACTTTAGGGGGAAGCTGGCCGTTCTCTCTCCAGATGAGGCGACCTCTAGAAGATGGGGAGCACTGGCTTTGCTTACTGGGACTGTGACCTCACCACCTCCCCAGTGGAAGGTGTGGTTGGAGTGTAACTGGGGCATAAATTGAAGTTCTGGGGGTTTAGGCACAAAGCATTTGACTTTGGCGTTGCTAGGCAGACCCCCCAAACCAGGAGCCCTAGTCCACCAGTCCAAGTCTGGGCTTGACCCAGAAGATAGCAGCCTGCCACATCCTCCCACGCCAGGCCCTGGGCCAGGGTAGCCAGGCCGAGAATCTGGCCGTCACCAGATGACTGCTGGCAGGAACCAGGGCCTGAAGCGGTGGCCTTGACCCCCTGTGGGAACCCAGTTTTCAACTTGGGAATTCCCTTGAGCTCAGTGAATTTCTCCCAGGTGCCCCCACACCTGAACTTCAAATTCTATATATAGAGAGGATATATTAGAGATATTTTTGGAAAGGAATTGGTCTATGCAATGCCAGTTTGGAATCTCCTTGAAAGACAGTTTTAACGTTTTTACTAGATTTAAAATAGAGGTATACAGTATTTTTAGATTTGTTTTTCCTGGTTACCCCATAACAGATCACGTGGCATAATCTGCCAGGATGGCAAATACCCCTGTTTTCCTGTCCACAGGGAGATGATGGCGGAGGGTCATTGTTTTTCTTTTAATCACTCCCTTTCTAACGGAACGTTGCCATCACACCCCGTCCCATGGGCTGTATTTGTATCTGTCCCGGCTTCTCCTAAGAATAACATTGTAAGGGGAAATCAGCCTCATGTCAGTGTCTTGGTGTGGGGAGAAATTAAATGTTGCAATTTTTGTTTATTTGTGCCATTTTTTTTTTATGTCATTGCTTTATCGCATTGACCTTCCTTGAGTCAACACCAAATCCCACTGTGCAACGTGTCATTACAGAGCAGGGAAGATGGAGGTGGCCAGGCGTCTCCAAGTACAGGGTGTGGTCACGAACACCACCACCTTTATTCCTCCAGATTCCTGGAGGGAAACTGAGGCCCAGGAGGGCAGTTCTTTGCCGGTCTCACGCCTCCTAAGTGGCAGCTCTGACCCCCAAGGATGAGTAACTGTGATGGCCCGATGACCTTAGTTGCAGTGAGTCTGCAGTTGGCTTGAGATCGGTGTGCAGCCTGACCCACAGGGGTGCCCAGCTGAAACCCTGTCTCCCTAACACTCATCGCAGGTCTTACCTCCAGGCTCAGCATGGTCCCTTCAGGAGCTGAGGCCCAAGCCTAAAGAGAGTCATCCCAGGCCTTTAGTGAGCTCAGAGATGGGTGTCTGGAAGCATCAGTGGTTAGGGCCAGACTGGAAAGAATCAGGAAGAAGCAGCATTCCCACTTCTTGCAGGGCTCACCCCCAGCTGTAGCCCTGTTAACCCCAGGGGCTGGTCACCAGTATTTTCCTCTGTGCCGCCCTGGGGAAGGTGGGATGGGGGGTAGAGGAAGAATTGAGCTGTAGACCACAAGGATTGGTCCTGCCAGCTTTAAGTGGCAGCCTCCACAGTCACCAGGGGCTTGGAAGACCTGAGAGGAGTGTTGCCACACTCACACCTCATCTCTCCCTAACCCCCAGGTAGAGTCCAGGCCCAGGGCCACCACATGGCCTCCAGAGGTCTGGAGTTTCCAAAACACTGGATGCTAGCACTGCAGGATCTTAAAAGTCTACAAATCTTAGTTTGATTCAAAACTACTATGTCAACCTCATTCTGGGTGCTGAGATTGCAGTAGAGACCACAGAGCCTGCCCTCAGTGAACTCCAGTCAAATGGGCCTGGTCACCAAAGTCAACTAATTAAAATTCATGGTAGTGGGACACCTTGATCCTAGTGCTCTGGTAGGTTGAGACAAAAGGATTACATCAACCTAGCAAGGCTCTGTCTCAAAATTTTAAAAGGCTGGGGTCGTAATTCAGTCTAAAAGTTCAATTCCCATTCAGCAATTGATCACTAAAATACCTCAATGGAGACAAGGGATAGTAGAGCCCAGAACTGGGAGCTTCTGCCTCCGGCTGGAAAGCAGGTCTTGGGGAAGAGAGCGGCACCGGTGAGCGCTCACAATATGAGAAGCAGCTAGCCCCACTTGATGTGAGAGTACCAGGCATCAAGGATCACATGGCACAACCTTCCCTTGTTTGCAGAGGAAAGGGCCTGAAGGGGCTTCCCATGCCGACAGCGGGGAAACTTGTGACACCCCAGAGGCAGGCGATGAGGCGAGGCAGGGGACACCAAGTCTCCAGGAAAGCTAGGTGATGGTAAAGAGGTGCCCCCTCTCTGCCAGTAGACATCCACCCCATCCCTACTGACTAAGGCCAGCCTCTTCTGCCACATCAAGCCAGGCAATGAACAGTTCCTCCAACAGATCAACTGGGGCCTCGGGACCAAAAACTAAGACAGCAGGTTCCAAGGTCGTTTTTTACCACTGGCTCTGTGATTTCTGAGCCTCACTTGTCCTGTTGGAAAAATGGGACTTCTAACCCCCAAACCTTGCCCTTGCTTTGGAACTATGTTTAAAGACACACCTTTTGCGGGGAGGGAGAGCTAGGACTGTGACCAAGAAATCCAGGCAAGTCTGGGTTCTAGCTAAGTTCCATCTCCTAGAGAAATTTTTGGAACTGACCTCACGGTGCCCTTGAGAAACTACATTTCCCGGCATACAAAGCGACGCGGCGCCTGCGGGTCTCGGAAGACGTAACCTTGGCTAGCCTGCGCACTACGACTCCCGGTGTGCCTCGCGGTCTGGAGTCAGAGGGGCCCGGATCCGGAAGCGAGTGTGGCTTACTGCTTGGGTAGCTGGTGCTGGGGAAATGGTGAGGCTGGCGCGGGTTGCAGCCGGAGTTAGGGATTCACGGGGGTGGGGGCTGGGGGCTCTGCTCAGGAGCTGGGGCTTGGGCAATCCGAGCTGAGATTGCTCTCCTGCCGGCCCATATACGGATAAAAACGCCAAGGCCCGCACTCTCCCAGCCTACGCATTGGTGCCGGCTGTGTAGCTGTGAATGAATGGGAAATTGAGGGCGTAAACTGCCAGCGATGCCCCTTCCTTTGGTGCACGAAATGTAGGCACTTCGTCAGCCGAGCCCTCCCTTTTCTCTAGGCCACAGGGACAGACCAGGTGGTGGGACTCGGTCTCCTGGCCGTTAGCCTGATCATCTTCACCTACTACACCGTCTGGGTGATTCTCTTGGTATGTGTCTCCTCCCAAGCCTCGCCTTTCCCCCAGCTCTGGATCTTGAAGCCGACCCGCAACACTGTGTAAACAGTTACCGTGTGGTGGCGCACGCAGCCTAGGCTACCTTAATCAGTTCAAGGCTAGCTTGAACCACCTGGCGAGACCTGCCTCAAAAAAAGCAAAGCAAACATTGGCGCTGATGGTGTCGGTGCCTTAGACAGAGGGGGCGCGACGTTTGGGCCTGGGAGCTCGCAAGAGTGTTTACCAGAGCTCTGCCCTCTGTCTCAGCCGTTCATCGACAGCGAACACATCATCCACAAGTACTTCCTGCCCCGAGCCTACGCCGTCGCCATCCCCTTGGCTGTGGGCCTGCTGCTGCTTTTGTTTGTCGGTAGGTCACCACACTCTCCCAGCCTGCCGCGGCCTGGTTCCACACTCGGCCAACAGCTGGTCATCTGCTCGAGACGCCGTCCCTCCAGCTCACCCTGAGATTTCCCTGTTCCCCATGCAAAGAAGGCTGCACGTCTGCAGCCTCTCTTGTCTCTGGATGCCTCAGGCTCTCGAACTCTGATGGCATGTGTCCCTTTATCCTGCCCCCTAACCCATCATCACTGCTTACACCTCAGTCACTTCACACCCTCTCATCATCCCTACTTAGTTCCTTGGCTTCTTCATGGCTTGTGGGTTCCTAGGGATGGGTGTTGTGTCTTCATCATGACTGTGTCCTTAGCACCAACTCGGCTGCAATACTGAGTGTCGCAGCCGAGTTGGTGCTTGGAGAATCGACGATCAGATGACTCAGTGATGGTGGGTAGTGGGAAGTTGGGTAGGGGAATCGGGTACCTGAGTGGAGGACAGACAGGTGGCTCTTATTCCCCATGGAATCCGAAACACATATAAGTGCAGCAGGTTGCCTGTGATAGGTTCTCACTTGGAGATTGTTGAATGAATGTGAGTGGCCATCTGGTTTGATGAATGAGGGAGATGAGCAGCTGCCCTGGAGGCTTCTGGGTGGGTGCATGACCTTGCCTATGGGTCATTCTCCCTGCTCTGGCCTCTATGCTCTGTGTATTGCAGGATTGTTCATTACCTACGTGATGCTGAAGAACAGGAAGGTGACCAAGAAGGTTCAGTGAAGACCCTGCAGGAGTGAAACTGCGGCCCCTCTCCATCCCTTTCAGGGACCAAAGGTCAGAGCTAAGGACAGTCCAGGAACAGTGGCCCCTGCAGCCCTCAGGAGATGGACCTGCTCGGGACTCACACCTGATAGACCTGTGCCCCTTCCTCCCCCAGCCAGCAGGCAAAGGACCTGGTGGACTCCCTGTTACTTGGTTCTCTAGGATCCACCCTCTTGCCCCAGTTTTCCCCCTGTCACATGCTGATGTTGGATTTAGGTAGCCCTGATGGCATAAGACCTTGCCCTACACAGTGGCAGCTTTTCTGAGTGTGATGCAACCCAGACCTCTGGTCCTGGAAAGCCTGGGCAGGACTGACAGACCCCAGCTCCACCAGGGTGTGGTCGAATACCTAGACTAGGTGCCCAGCCGAACATTCTTGGAGACCCAACTCCCAGGTCGAAGGCTGTTTGGGAGACATTAACAATAAATGTTGATTAAGTGTTTGTCTTCCTGTTGTCTTTGCAGGGAGCCAGGGATGGGACTGCAGGGGTCACAACTGTGGCCTGTCCTCCATCTCTTGTACCCAGCAGCCCAACTTAGTGTGAGTCTGATCAGTAAGGGCTACACCGAGTCATGGCAGGGTGGCTTCCACTGGGTCGGGGTCACCTGAGCTGGGCCTGGCCACATCCTGGCTAGCAATCCTTTAGAGCCTGATGTGTCTCTGGCGGCAGCTCTCCTGGGTACCCTACCTAAGGAAAGCCCTGGCCCTTGAGCCTCGCCTGCTCTTTCATCCTCCAGCTGCTTCCGCTCTTCCCCCACACCCTGCCTCCTGGGCTGTCTGCTGGACTCGAGGTCCTGCCTCCTTGCTGTAGTTTGAGTCCCTGGTCAACAGTGGTCTCCTGTCTGGGAAGACACAGACTCCCACCTGAAGACCAGGTGATCTGGTCACCTGGCCCTCTGTTCAGCCTCTGTCCCTATCACTCCAGGAAGGCTATGCCCATGGCAGCCACCGTTAAAGGACGTTTCCATGATTCTCCACCCCATGTAGCCTGTGACACCCCTGGAGTCCATCCCCAAATACTGCTGGTGTCTTGATGCCACTGTCCTGCTTGATGCCTGTCACTTGAGTCCCTCTTCTGCTGTGAGCTACTGGGCTCTCAGGATGGGACTGGGTCTCAGATCTTTGCCAGTGCTTCCTGCAGGGTCTCATCCTTAAGCCCCAGTGCACAGGCCCCAGCTGCCCGCTGGATGTCATGGTAACACCTCATCTTCATCCTGTCCTCAGTTCCCCGGACTGCCCTATGTCCACCTGCCTTCAGGCCCAATGTCCTGTATTTCCGGCCTCAGCTTCTTCTTCCATTCTGCATTCACACAAACCCAAAGTCTGTGAATTCTCCCTCTCCAGTTGCCTCCCTGAGGCAGTCACTGGCCTCTCCTAAGCCAGGGAGAGGTTCCTCACAGCACCTGCCCTGCTAGCTAGGCTCTCCCATCTGCAACAGGGGCCATCAGAAACTTCTGAAGACCCACACCCTGGCTTTACAACGCTGCTCTGGGCAGCCCTGCTACGGCTTCAGTAGGAAATGTCCCTCAATAACTCATTCTTGGAGGGCTTGTTCCCCATGCAGACCCCAGAGAGGCAACTGGCTCAGTTAGGTGTGGTTTCATCAGATTGATCCATAGCTGAAGGGGCAGATGGGAGCTGTGGCCCATTGGACTGTGGTGCACCTTTAAAAGGGGTACAGCCCTTTCTCTCTGGCTCTTGTACTATTTGCTGGTTGCGTGAGATGACAACTTTCTTCTGCCACACCCTCCATGACACTTCTGCCCTGCCACAGACCTAGAAGCAACAGAGCCAAGTGAACATAGACTGAATCCTCGGAAGCCACAAGCCCAAATAAGCCTCTCCTTCAGGTTGTTTTTCTCAGATATTTGGTGATGAGAATGAAAAGCTACATAGCCCCCACCCACCTCCACTGTGCCTTGAAAGGCCCTGTACACTGAGTGACTTTCTAATCACTTGAGCCACGCTGGGCTTTCACTTCCTGGGACTCACCAAGGCCCTTTGTGCCTCGTATTCACATTGGTCCAATATTCACTTAGAGAGCACTGAGCCAGGACACAAGGCCAGCATGATTCCCGCTGTAGTGGCAGTCTTATTCTAGAAGGGTGATTACCAATAAATGAATGAGAAATCTCTGATTCATCTGCAATCCGAGCATTCAGGAGCTGAGGCAGGAGGTTCACAGTGAGTTAGAGACCAGTGTGAGGTACATAGTGAGTTCAAGTCCAGTCTGGAATACACAATAAGGCGCTGTTCCCCCACCACCACCACCAAAAAAAGAAAACAAAAATCTCTGACACTGCAGAGGGCAATGAAAAAAATAAAGGGGGTGTATTCAAGAATGCGGGGTATCTTCAAGGTGACAGGAACAAGGTGAACGCTGTCTGGGGGGAAGGACTGCACAAGCCAGAGGCTCCACGCCTGAGTAGCTGGATACAGGCACCTATTCGGACAGAGGTGCAGGGCTGTAGGTTGGTTGGGACAGGGCATGCAGTGGGCAGGGCCACGGCAAGGAATTTGAATTTTGTTCCACTGCCACGAGAAGCCACTGGAAGCTTTAAGCATGACAGTGACATCATCTAACTCAGGCTTTTAAAAGATCTCTGTGGTAACTGTGTCCTCCCACCCACTTTCCAGCAAACCTCCGAGCCTAGCCTGGCTTCCGGGCCAAAGTGGGTGTTTCAAGTAATTCTGTTCATTGAATGAAGGCTCTGACTTCCTGTGTGGCTTGGAGGTGATCACGTCTTCCCCCTGATCTTAGTTTCTTTATCTGAAAGACAGCCAGTGGGAATTTCATGCCTGAATGGGTGAGCAGCCCGGGATCTAGGGTACCTGCCTCCCCAGGCAGCCCCGGAGATCCGGGCCCCGCACTTTACGGACAGAATGAGGGGTCTTCCCTCCCCGAGACGCGAGCCCACGCCCGGCGGCCCCGCCCCGCCTGAACCTCTGGGCTCAGGGATGCTGCAGCCGTGGGGGCGGGACCCGCAGGCGATCGCCAGCGCCCCCCAGCTGAGATTGGGCGCGGCCGTGATCGGCGCCACACGATTGGTCGATTGAGAGGCAGGGGCGGGGCCTGGTTCCTGCAGCGGGGCGACAAGGGGACGCGGCCAAAGCCCGGGAAGCTGCTGCGGGGCAATGGCCGTACCGAGCCCAGGTCCCCGTGAGGTAGGTGCTGACTTGAGGAGAAGGAGCAGGAAAGGGAGCGGTTGGTGGGCCTCTCTTGCCCTGAACCTGCGGCACGGACACGCCCCCATACCTGCCTGGGAGGGACCCTGCCCTGGACTAGGGACCAGGACACGCCCCATAGAGGGCGCAGGTTTAAAAGGGGGCGATCTGCTGGGTGTCCCGGGAGGGCTTCCTCACTCTCCTCATCGGGAAGACAGAGATGGTACTAAAGGTTCCTCCTTTACAGGGCCGTTAGGAGCTCTCAGCCAGTGCAGGGCACACCATGGGTGCCCACGAGTAACAGGTCAGCTGTGTGATCTCAGCCCCTGCTGACCCTCGGCGCGGGCCTGCGGGAAGTCAGCAGAGACGGTGGGATAGATCTGAGTGGATGGTGGGCAGGCACGGTTCCTTCGAGCAGGGCTTTCTGTGCGTGCGGGAGCTATGCTTAACAGTAACAGTCGGTACCTCCAGAAAGGAGTTCTTTCAGTTTTTCATTGCAGAAGAGGAGAAAAAAAAGCACTGATTCACCTAAGGTCACACAGCTGGAGACAGGGTCAGTCTCAGCCAGGTTTGACTGCCGAACGCATATCATCCTGTGCCTTCTGGCGACTGTAGTAAGGACCTTCATGCTGTCTGACGCAGCATGCAGCCCCTCACAACACTTGAGGTGGCAACAGCGTTATCCCTAATTTTCAGCGGAGGAAACTGAGGCAGAGAGAGAGAGGAAGGTTCACAGTTAATCCAAGTGGGATTTGAACCTGGGTCTTTGCCCCTCTGAATTTGCCTGTCTTTGCTTTCTGTACCCCTACTTGCCAGGCCCTGGCCCCCTCCCCAGAGGCTGGAAGAAGAGGAGCCACCTCAAGCTCCAGCCGCCGCCGCCGAGGCCTCCTTTGGCGCCTGCGGGACAGGCAGACCCGCCTGGGACTGTTTGAGATAGGCCCGAGGCATGAGCTCCACGGCTTGATGACCATGATGCAAGCTGGGCTGTGGGCTGCCACCCAGGTCTCCGTAGACCGCCCACCCACGGTGAACAGCCCTACTGCCCTACATGCCCATCCTCCAGTGCTCAGGCTGCTGCCTTGGGGGGATCAGAGAGGAGTTCTGAAAGGCAGAAGGCAGGAGCTTGGTGCAAGGAGGCTGAGACTTGTTGAGAAGGAAGCAGGAAAGCTCAGGGATTTGGGAGCATGTGTGTTTGCTATGTGACTCTCGAGGTGCCTTGCCCCAGTGCCCACATCCTTATAATGGTGGGGGAATTGCACCCCTTGGTTTCTGAGCCTCTCTGGTCCTGCCAGGGTATATGATTGAAAAGGGATGCCACCCCCACCCTGCCTGCACAGCCCATCCTCCCTGAAGCCTGGGCTGGGACCTCGCTGGTTCAGCAGAAAGGGTCACCCAACTGCAAGCTCAGCAGCTGGGCATGCCCCGGTGAGCATGTGTGTCATTAGTGTGTGTACCATCAGACTACAGCCAGCAGGCCAAGTCCCCAGCACAGGGACCTGGAGGTCCAGAGAGAGTGGAGGGTCCCAGGGGAGCCCTCTAAACCACAACCTGACTTCATCACCTGCTGAAGCCCTCTTAGCTCCCCAGTACTTCGTATAGCTTTTCAGATTCTGTAGGCAGTGAGGACCAATTGCCTTGCCCCACCCACCCCCTGACTTTCCCTCACTGGCCACAGACAGCCTGACTTCTTCCCTTGCTGGTCAGCAGCCAGCAGTGCTATTTCTCTTGCCCTAAGCACCCTGCATCTCCTTTCTATGACCCCTCCGATTTCAGCTCCGAGGTCACCTCGCCCAAGAAGCCTTTTCTGATCTGCCACTCCCAGGTCATCTGGCTTCGAGGCCATCTCCTTGTGCTGAGATGGAACCTGGCTTCACTTGGCCAACATGTGACTGAGGGCATGTGCCCAGGCTTGAACTCAGAGCCTGGGGCTGGCGGATGACCCAGCTGCAACCCTGTGTCATGTCACTGTCCTCTTCCCTGCAGCCCTAGGAGTGTCAGCAGTCCATCTGCCAAGCTTAGGGCCACCCGCAGGACCCTGTATGTGGAAGGAATCAAGTTGGGGTTAGGGGTCGAGGGCAAGTGTAAGACCCTGGGGCAGGCGGTGGGAAGTCTTGTTTTGCCTGAGACTCTGACCCCTTCCTATAGGGACTGCCCACACAGGAAGACTTTTCAGAGGTTCTGACCCAGGTTCATGAGGTAGGAGGCCCAAGACTCTCGCTGGGGGGGCGCTGCAGTGGTCTTTGCTCTTTCTTGCCCTCAGTTTCCCCGCACCCCATGCAGTGTGGGTTCACCTGAGTCTACTGTACCAGGGCCAGCTGTTCCCTGGACCCACGTGGACACTCTTGGGGCTGCTCTATCTCCTCCACAGGGCTTCGAGCTGGGCACCCTGGCCGGTCCGGCCTTTGCACGACTGCGACGCTCCCTGGGCCTGGCGGAAGAGGACTATCAGGCCGCGCTGGGCCCCGGTGGCCCCTACCTGCAGTTCCTCAGCACCTCCAAGAGCAAGGCCAGCTTCTTCCTGTCGTGAGCTTGCTACAGGGTTGGGGCTCTGGGCAAGGGGCAATCCCCTTGAGGAGAACATGGTCGGGGGGGGGGGGTTGCGGAAAGATGGGGATAGGGGGCAGGCATGTGGTGGTCGCAAGCTGAGACGCGGAGAGAACCTTGTGTCCAGGCTAGAAGCAGAGGGTCCAGCGGGAGCCGCCCCAGCTAGGCGCGGACAGTGACCTTTTCCTGCCACCCCGCAGCCATGACCAGCGCTTCTTTCTCAAGACCCAGCGGCGCCGGGAGGTGCGGGTGCTGCTCGCCCACCTGCCCCGCTACGTGCAGCACCTGCAGCGGCACCCACATTCGCTGCTCGCACGGTTGCTGGGTAGGCGGGCTGGGGGCGGGCCCCGAAGACGGGTACCTGGGAAGGCGGGGTTATGTGGGCGGGGCCTAAAACTCAGACTTGCGATTGGACGATCCTGGGGGAGGGTCCCGGGGGCAGGCATAGGAGGCGGGGCCTGGACCTGGTGTGGGTGGGGGAGGCCTGGATCCTGGGCTGTGGAGCTTGGGACCCTCACCTGGCGCCCTTTCCGCTTCCAGGAGTGCACAGTCTGCGGGTGGCCCAGGGAAAGAAGGTGGGTGAGGCCGAGGGGAGCCAGGGACTGGAGTGTGAGGTCCGGGCTCCCCTCACTCGCCATCCTTCTCCCCAGAAGTACTTCATCATCATGCAGAGCGTCTTCTACCCTGCCGGCCGCATCGCTGAGAGGTGAGAGGGCCAAGAGTAAGCACGGGGCCTACCCCACCGGACACTCACTGGGCAGACGCCACATGGAGCCCGAGAGGGCAAGGGACGTGGTGCTCCCCTTCCGCCTCTCTGAGCGCTGTGTGTGCCTCTGCGCAGTCACGCTCATGGTCTCCTTTACTCCCCTCACTCCCGGAGAGAATCCAGGCCATGCAGCCGGTGTAGAAAAGGGATTAAAACTCAGCCTTTCAGCCCAGTGTAGTGACACATACCTGTGATTCCAGCACTCTGGGAGGCAGAGGCAGAAGGATCACCAGTTCAAGCCCAGCGGGACAATTTAGTAATTTAGCAAGATCTTATTTAAAAAAAAAAAAAAAAAAAAAAAGGCTGGGGTGAACCTTGGTATGAGGGAGGGTTCTGGATTCAATCTTTAATAGTGCAAAATCAATCAAGCAGGAAAAAAAAAATGGCCTCTGCACACAGCCCTATACCACCGTGATTCTCCCCATGGCCACCTCCTCAGCAATTCTGTGTCTAGGACATCTTGGCAGTGACACAGAGCCGAGCAGCAGGCACAGGCAGCTCTAAAGTCTGGGCTGGGCTGGGCTTCCAGTGGCCTGGGCAGGTACCTCTGTTGTGCTCCATGCGTACTGTGTGTGGCGCATCCTGGGAGCTCTCTAAGCCTCAGTCTCCTCATCTCCAGCGTGAGGACACTAAGAGACCTGGGTTGTCCTAAGGTTTCCAGGTGCTGTGTTTAATGAGTTGGATGCAAATGGGAACGGTCACCCAGTGAGCCTCTCGTGTTTGATTAGTGCTTTGTAAGAGCCCTGGTGCCCCTCATGAGTGTAAAGCTGAAAATGTCCCCTCACTCCCCAGGTATGACATCAAGGGCTGCGAGGTGAGCCGCTGGGTGGAGCCCGCCCCTGAGGGCAGCCCCATTGTCCTGGTGATGAAGGACCTCAATTTTCAGGGCAAGACCATGAACCTGGGTGAGCCATGGGCGTGGTCATGGCCTTCCTCCAATCAGGTGGAAGTTCCCACGCGTGCCAGCACAGCTCTATGCCTGGGCCCTTAAAAACCTAGATTGTGGTGTCTCGTGCATGTAATCCCAGCACTCGGGAGAAGGATTATTGAGAGTTCAAGGCCAGCCTGGGTTATATAGTGAGTTCAAGGCCATCCTAGAATACACGGTGAGACCGTGGCTCAAAAATGAGCAAGGTTGGATGTGGTAGCACATTTCTATAATCCCAATATTCACGAGGCTGAGGCAGGAGGATGGCCATGAGTTCAAGGCCAGCCACAGAGTTGAGTTCGAGGCCAGTCCAAACTACAAAGCAGCAAGAACTTGTCTCAGAAATAAAGAACAAACATCAACCTTAGATTCTGGAGTCAGGCAAAGCAGAGGTCAGTCCTGGCTCCCAGATTTGAAGGCTGGATGAACAAGACAAAGTGTAGATAAGCTTCCTTTCTTGTGCACTGGGGACAGGGGTGACACCTGCCCTCCCGGGGCAGGAGCTTGTGGGGGTCGTGGCTGGCACAGGATGAGGCTCAGGCCAGCTGTGGTGCTCTGCAGGGCCGCAGCGGAGCTGGCTCCTCCGTCAGATGGAACTGGACACCACCTTCCTGCGGGAACTCCGGGTGCTGGACTACAGCCTCCTCCTGGCCTTCCAGCAACTCCATGAGGACGAACAGGGCCAGGGAGGCAGTGTCATCTTCCGGGTGGCCAGGTGAGCCCCTCCTTCAGATCTTGGCAAGAGCATGTGTGGGACAAATATCAGGCAGCAGTATACAAAGGCCACAAAGCGTGGAGTGTGTGCATGCGTGTGTGTGTGTGTGTGTGTGTGTGTGTGTGTGCACGCGCGCAGGGTAAAGAGGGCTGGAAAAGCTGGAAGTGATAGACATAGGACACAGGCGGACCACAGCAGGGCAGGGAACAGCCAGGGTCCAGCCGGATGAGGACCTCCCTGTTGAACTAAAGAATCTGCCCATTTTCAGCAGTGGTGTGGAGCCCAGAGGTTCGAGAACAGGGAAAGACCTAGGGAGCTGTATTCTGCCAGAGAGAGTACCTAAATTCTTGTCTTCCACTCCAGTGGTCCTGTCCCCAGGAACCAGAGGGCATCACTGAGATACCACCATCATGTCCTTCTGTCACTCCTTGCCTGCTGACTATGACCTTGGGGCTTGGTCCCATTTTATTCCATGGTTTGTTTTCTATGTGTCTTTGTCGTTCAGGCTGGCCTTGAACTCCCAGTGACCCTCCTGCCTCAGCCTCTTGACCTATCTAGTAGCCTCATTTTAAAAGTAAAACAACCAAATGCAGTGGTGCATGCCTGTAATCCCAGTACTCTGGAGGCTGAGGCAGGAGGATGGCGCATTGAGGCCCACTTGATCTACATAGCAAGACCTTCTCCAGAAACAAGAAAGAAAAACTAAGATTAAAAAAAGATGAAATTAATTTTACTAAGTTACTCAACACATTCAAAACTTGCGAACTTTATCCAATCAGCAGGAGAATTGAGGGGCTTGTCAACATTCTTTCCTTCATAGTGTTTTTGAAAATCAGTACATATTTTCCCGTCTGGTGACCGGTGCCTGTTTTGGGGACAATGCAGGTCTAGACATCAGCACCATTTCCTCTGTCTTCTGGGCCACCTGACCAGGGATGGGGACAGCTGGGCTCCTCAGAGCAGGCAGTGGACTCACCTACGGTGGCCCCCCCCAGGTCTATGCTTGGGGCGCAGAGCCCAGACGAGCAGAGCTCCCAGAATCGCCGGTTGCTGCCCGACGGCCCCAATGCTCTGCACGTCCTGGATGGGCCCGAGCACCGCTATTTCCTGGGCCTGGTGGACCTCGCAACTGTCTATGGGCTTCGTAAGCGGCTGGAGCATTTATGGAAGACGCTGCGTTACCCAGGTCGGACCTTCTCCACCGTCAGCCCAGGCTGCTATGCCCAGCGCCTCTGCCAGTGGGTCGAGGCACACAGCGAGTGAGCAGTGCCTGGCCTCAGTCTCCCCATCCAGACAATGGGCGATCGCCAGGAGTTCTGGTGCCCACTGCACCCATACATCTTGCCTGCTGTTCCGCCAGAGGCCAACAGAGGGCAGCGCCCTCCAACCAGTGCGATGACCGTTGAGGGTGGAGCTGTGCCCCGCACTGTCCAGAGGATGCCCTGCATTCGCTCTTGTAAAAATGCTGTTATTCTCTTTTTACAGACCACGACATGGAGGCTCAGGGGTGAAGGGACTGAGCACCATCGTGCAACACTAATGCTGGGCCAGGCTCTACCTTGCCTTGTGGCCCCAGGAGTCGGTGTTTTTAGTCCTGGACCCCTGCAGTCCCAGCCTCACAATCTGGGGCAGGCAGAGGCTAAAGGCTCCGCCCCTGGTCGTCCAGATGGGGAAACTGAGGCCCAGAGTCTTTAAGGGGCTTATGCATGGGTAAGTGGCAAGGCCCCAAGGACTCAGGCCTCCTGATGCTCACAGGGCCCTACCATCTCCCTCTAGGATGCACCCCTACCTTGGGGTGTGGGTGGTAGAGGGTGGGCAGTGGCTTCCGGCAGCTCTGGGAGGCTCTCCAGTGAGCTCTGTCCTTTGAGAGTCACTTTTCCCATGTGTGAAAGATGGCAGGAAGTCACGTATGGTGATGGCACATGCCTGTAACCTCAGCACTCAGGAGGCTGAGGCAGGAGGACCACAGCTTTGGGGCACGGTCAGTGGTCAGCTGCCAAGACCCGAAGGAGCCCCATCGCCCCTCACCAACCCTTTTCCCCCCACCAGAAAATGTCAGCCTGGTCTCTGATCCCAATCCAAAGTCCCATCCACCTATGCCCAAGGGGACCTCTGCTTCGGATCTGCCCCAGAGCCTGGCTGTGTGACCAGGGCAAGGTGCTAAAGCCCTCTGTGCCTCTAGGTCTTCATGCACAGTGGAAAGGATGAAAATGGACCTCGTCAACCTATTAAATATTTACTGAGCATGGCAGTGTGACAGGCTCTCTGCTGGATGATGGGGATCCAGGGACAGAGCCAGATGCCTTTCCAGAGCTCTGGGCTGGGCGATAACAAGAACCCAGCGTGACCAAACCTCTTGGGGAAGCTGGGGCCACAGGGCTGGGACACAGCCTCACACGGGGGGGGGGGGGGGTCGACCTGGCTTAACTCCCAGACATCAGAAGAGTCACACAGCTACAAGCACGCCAAAGCCTGGGTGAGAGGAGTCATTTAAAGAAAGAAATCGTCTCCTGGTATCGAGGCCAGTGTGGCGGGGCTGGGCCTGTGTGGTCACTCAGGGGCAGGAAAGCCACTGGGCACCATCGGGCGCTACTGTCAGGAGTGGGAGGTGGGGGCACTGATCCAGGCCACAGGGCTGCAGCTCAGCTCCAGAACAGCCGTGTCACTGCTGGTTGCCAGGGTGACCTCAGTGATGATGACTCAGTCTGTCTGAGCCTGTAAGAACCACAAGCTTTTTTTTGTTTTGTTTTGTTTTGTTTTTTTGTATGGGGAATCGAACTCACAACCTCGCACTTGCCAGGCAGGCATTGTGCCTATAGGCATTTCTTGTTCTTACTCAGCAGGGAAATATGGGGACTGTTAGGCTCTGGTTGTCACTTGGGAGGGGATGGATTGGGACATTCCTTCAGGAGTGGCAGGAGCTGGGGTGCAGAAAGCCCAAAGTCCAGTTCTGATGCTTGGGTGACTCAGCCTTCTCCCTTTTTCCGCTATGAACTTTGGCAGGGCCTGAGAAAGAGGGCGGTGAGTTGTCCAAGAAAGACCTCAGGGACCCAGGGCGCCCCTGCCAGTGGGCAAAGGACCCTGAGCAAGGACATCACAAGTACCCAGGGTGACTTCAGGCCATGACAAATGCAGTGAAGAAAATAAAGTCAGTGAGAGCTGGGTGCCCCTATGAGCCCAGCACTTGGGGAGGCTGAGACAGGAGGATGTTTTGAAAGTTTCAGGTCAGCCTGGGCAACTTACCAACATATGGAGATCCTGACTAAATAAAAATAAAATAAAAACGGGCCAGAGACATAGTTCAGCATGAAGACCCTGGGCTCAATCCCCAGTCCAGGAAAAAAAAAAAAAAAAAGAGTAAAATAAACCAGATGGAACGGAAGAAGCCAGGATGCAATGGCGGGTAGGGTGTGTGGCAAGGACTTTTCTGAGGTGATGTTTGAGCCACGTGACAAGAAAGCCACATGCCGAGAGCAGGAGAGGCAGAGGGACGGTGAGTATGAAGGTCCCGAGGTAGGGCCAGAAGGTAGGCAGAGGGAGAGTGACCCAGAGGAGGCAGGGGTCCACACTGTGCAGAGATAAGGACAGAGGGTTTCCTGCTATGTCCCTCAGGCGGGCCTCAAACTTGAGATGACCCTTGTGCCTCAGCCTCCCTAGTGTGTCACCATGCCAGCTTTGGGGGACAGATTTTGGAGGCAAAGTCTATGTGGAGAGAAACATGGAGGAAAAGGACGTGGGGAAGCCAGAAGGATCCGGGACCCCTTATACCCAAAGGAGGCCTGGAAAAGGGCAGGGCTGCTTTGGCTGTGGTCCCTGCCCACAGGACAGGGGAAGGATGGGAATCTAGGATACCAGGTCAGGGGCAGGGCAGAATTGGAAGGCTGCTGAACCAGGGATGGACACCCCAGTCCCTGAAGACATTTGCAGCTGGGACATTTGCTTCAGCCCCGATTTTCAGCATTTACCAGGGCCCCGGGACTGGGGGGGGGGGTGTCAGAGCCTGACTCTAGAGAGAAGCTGCCCAGCTTCGAATCTGACTGTTACAAGTGACACCTGCACCATGCCACTTCCCAGAGGAGAGAGGAGTTTAGACGAAGGTACATGAACATCATCAAAATAAAACCACTAGCTGGGCAAGGTGGCTCACACCCGTAACCCCAGCTACCCTGGATGCTGAGGCAGGAGGATCACAAATTCAATGCCAGTGTGGGCAACTTAGCCAGACCTTGTGTCAAATTAAATAAAAAGGTTGTGGATGTAGCTCACTTGCCTAGCATGTGCCGGGTCCTAGCTTCAACCCTCAGTACCAAAATATAAAACAATTCTATTAAAAACAACTCGTGTCTTCACTGTTTATCTGAAACTCCAATTTAATTGGGCGTGTTCTATTTTACTGGCTAAATCTGGCAATTCTACCAGCCTGAATCCCCCGACCAACGCCCTTGATTCATTTCTCAGGTCTTGCCCCCATTCCAGAAATACTTTTTTTTTTTTGAGATAGGGTCTCGTTGTACAGTTCAGGCTGGCCTTGAGCTCACTCTGTGGCCTAGGCTGGTCTCGAACTTGCAAGGATCCTCCTGCCTCAGCCTCCAGAGTGCTGGGATTACAGGCGTGAGCCTCCACGCCTGGCAAAGAAATAGATTCTTTTCTCTCTTTTTCTTGTTTGCTCTTTTTTTTTTTTTTTTGGTCTTTTTCCTTTTTATTGGTACCGGGGATTGAACTCACGACGACTACCTGCTTGCAAGGCAGGTGCTTATGCTGCTGAGCTAAATTCCTAGCCCCTTGTTTGCTCTTTTTTTTGGAGACAGGATCTCATTACATAACATAAGCTAACTTTGAACTCACAATCTTTCCTGCCTCAGCCTCCTGAGTGCTGGAATTACAGCAGCGTGTCACCAAGCCTGCCAGTTCAGAAATGGAAACACTGAAATCTGAGTGGCCCGGCAGCCACAGCCCCCTGGCTCCGACATTCTCTGGCTTTGCCATCCAGAGCGCAGGCAGAAACTGAAGAGGAAAAAATATGAGATGCTCGGCTCAGGCCCCGCCCCCGATGCCGAGGCCCCGCCCTCCGCCCAGAGGCGTGGTCGCCGGCACGTACGTCCCGTCCGGGGTCGCGCCCGCCGGCCCCGCCCCGACCTTCAGTCCCCTCCTCCTGCCACAAGACCCCGCCCCTCCAAGGCCCCGCCCCCGGCTGGCGGCGCTGCTTGTGGTTCTGACGGGCGGGAGCTGCGGCCGAGGCGCCGCCTTCGCCCTGGGGCCCCAGCTTCAGCCCGGCTCGCCTGGCCCGCCGGACATGGAGCTCCACGCTGCCGATGGAGAGGCTCCGGCGCGCTTCGATCTGCCCACCCGGTTAGGTCCTGGCCGGGGAGGGGTCGGTGGATTCGCTAGGCCGAGGAGGAAAGCCCCCGTGTGTGGGTCCCGGGCCTCGCGTGGTCCCGCGGGGTGGGAGGATGGAGGAGGTTGCGATCCGGGCTCCCGGCTCTCTCAGCTTCGGACCTATGGGGTGACCTTGAGTCCTGAGCGCCTCCCTCAGCCCTGCTTCCTCATCTGCGCCGTGGGACTGCTTGGCACGGGGTGGGGGGCTCCCCTCCTTTAGGATGCCACACTGCCGCCCGAGGGCGGAGACTTTAAGGAGCCTGGTTCCCAGGGGCCATTCCCTGATCCCAGTCTGCACGCTGCCCTGCCTCAGTACGCCGCCCTCCTCGCCCCCGGCCCCCTTTCCCTTCCGGGCTCTGATTTTCAAGTCTTGGCAGGTGCCTAGCACACAGCCCTTCCCAGCCTGGCTCCTGGGGACAGCAGCTCCAGGACTGCTGAGGGCCTGCGGCAGCATGAAGGCTCAGGTAAGTAGCGCCGAGAGGGGAGGCCCAGGGGGAAGTTTATCTTGCAGCACAGCAGCCTCCACTGCCTTCCCACGCTTTTTGTGGGGTTGTTTTGTGTTTCGGTTTCCTTGGTGTGGGTGTTCGAACCCTGGGCTTTGTGCCTGGCGAGCATGTGCTGTCGATCTGAGCTACGCCCCAACCCATGGTCTCTTCTGACCTCACTGCACACAAGGACGCTTCCCTGGGGGGTCAGCCCAGCTCTGTGCGACCCCAGGCAAGTGGCATCTGCATCTTGGTTTCAGTTCCTTGCTCTCCTCACCAGTGATAGAGGTGACAGTCGCAGCATCTGTGGCCCCCTACTCATGGTGTTACTCAGCCCCCTGGCTGTGGGGAGAGACCTGGACTTTGGGAGATGAGATTAACCTCTGCTGCCCTAGGCAAGGTCTCAGGGTTTGGTGCCTCCCAGGCAGGGAACCAGATACTAGGCAGGACTGAAACAGCTGGCCAGAAGCAAGAGACTTTTTTAAAGCTGCTGCGGCTTGTGGGCAGAAAAGAAAGGGGACCTTTGGCAGGATACCCCTGGAAACCAGGGTGGGGCTGTTTTCCTGCCTCTGGTTTTCAGAGAGCACCAGCTGCTGGACCCAGAACTCAGAGACACACAGGTGTCAACTGCCATAGCCCTGCACACAGTAGCAGACCCAGGTCCCACTCAGGGGGTAGGCCCTGATTCAAGGGAGTCAGAAGGGGTACCTAGTGCATGTGGTTTCCAGAGGCATGAACCCCAGACAACAGCTTTCCAATTATGGAACTGACTGGAAAGATGCTTCCCTTGATTCCTTCCACCTCCTGGCATGCTGGCCTACATCCTGCTCAGAGCTTGAGGACAGTTACTGAGTCAGTGGGAGTGGGGCAAGGGAGGGAGGTGGGGCCATGGGGGGTAGCACAGGGCCTGGTTAAAGTAGACTGTGGGATCTGAGAGCTGCTGGGGTGTGGGCTCTAGACATCTTCTTCATCACTGCTTTCTCTCTCTCAGGGTCGCCTCCTGCTCATCATCCTGTGCTCCTTGGTCTTCTCTGTCGTCTATATCCTCTTGTCCTGCTGGAGCTGCCTGCCTCCCTGCCGGACCACCTGCCCGGACCACCACCTCCCTGTGGACTCCAGCCCCACTGCACCAGGGCCCTTGCACTTCAGCGGGTACAGCAGCGTGCCTGATGGGAAGGTGGGTCTGCCAGGCAGCACAGCACCAGGGTGTCCTGGCTGTGTGACCGTGGCTGCTCCCTTTACCTCTCTGAGCCCATAGATTGCCTGGCTGCTCACAGTGTATCTTGGGAAGATAGAGGTCCTCTCGACAGGATGGCTGCTCTCAGGTGGGAGAGATAGGCGCCACCATAGCACACAGGTGTGCATTCTGTGCATCTCCACCCCACCATCTTTTCAACACATGCACACCTGGCACCCACAGTGTATGTGGCTTTGTGTGGTTGATGGATCCTGTTTTTTTGTTTTGTTTTTGTTTTTTGTTTTTTTATTTTCTTTTTTGAGACAAGACCTCACTATGTAGCCCAGGCTGACCTCGAACCTATGGTGATGCTCCTGCCTCAACCTCCCAAAGGCTGGTATTACAGGCATGAGGTACCCACCCAACTGTTTTTCTTTAATTTTTAAAATTTATTTTATTTTACTTATTTTTTGAGACAGGATCTGTTTTTCAGGCACAGCTTGAACTTACTATGTGGCTCAGCTCAGGCTGGCCTCAAACTTCCTACAGTCCCTCCTGCCTCAGCCTCCCTAAAGCTGAGAATACAGGATGTGCACCACACCAAGTTTGTTTTTCTTAAGAGAAGTAGGAAATCCTAAGTTTGAACATCAAAAGAGTCTCTCTATCTCACTTTTTTTTTTCTTTTCTCTACTGAAGATTTCCTACACTGAGAAGGGAAAATGAAATTCAAGGCCAGCCCAGACTACATAGAAAGTTCCTGTCCAAAAAAACCCAAAAAACTAGGGACATCTACATCTTCCTGTACTGCTGAACCTGCTGGGCCACCTAACTACACCCCAGCCCTTTTTACATTTTTATTTTGGATCAGGGTTTCACTAAGTTGTCCAAGCTGGGTTTTGTTTTGTTTTGTTTTGTTGGTATTTTTCATTTTTATCAGTACCAGGGATCGAACTCACGACTGCCTGCTTGCAAGGCAGGCGCTTATGCCGCTGAGCTAAATCCCCAGCCCCTCCAAGCTGGGTTTGAACAACGATCCTCCTGCCTCAAACTCCCAGGCTGTTGGTATTACACACATGTGTTACTGTGCTTGGCCAGAAGGGCCAACTTTATGTTTTGGGGTCAATGAGAAAGCTTTAAAGGCCTCATGAAAATGCACATGACACCTCTTGGAGCCTGGGTGACCTAAGCAGAACAGACCCCTGCTTGTCAGCTGAGTCTAGACAAGATAAGGAAGTCTTATTCTTTATCACTGGGCTATGGATAAATGGGCTCATGTGTCCTTAAAGCAACATTTAGGCAAGCATGAAATGCCCGTAAGTGGGGTACCACACTGTCCTGTCTGAACTGGAATGAACCAGAATCCATGTCCCATGTCTTTGACACACTTTGGCAAGCCAAAGTGCCTGAAGGCACAGAGGCCTGGGTCATTTCCTCAACAGCTGTGGCTCATTGGCTGCATTGCCCCTCAGGGTGGCACAAATCTCTCTATGCCCCAGGTTTGTGCCACCCACTCCCTGGGCAGTTATTTCTTAGTTACTTTTCTTGTTGCTGAGATGAAAATACCCTACTCCCACAAGGTAAGGGAGGAAAGACTTATTTGGTTCACAGTTTGTAGAGGTTTCCATCTGTAGTTGGCCAGTTCCAAGGCAGGGTGGCGGGGCAGAGGGGCAACAAAGAGGAAAAACAGTTTCATGCAAGTAGAGAGCCACTTTCTGTCCCTTATATCTTATCTATACTTTGCACCATGGGTCAATCCTATCATAACACATTGTATATCTGGCCACCTCTGAAAAAGCCTCACCTATGGCCATATAAGGCCTTTTGGGGACATCTAGACCTAAGTTATAACCTTTTGCTTTTTCTTTCTTTCTTTCTTTTGATAAGAGGAATCGAACTTAGGACCTCACCCTTGCCAGGCAGGCTATCAGGCTATATCCCCAGCCTAAGTCAAGATTTTTTTTTTAAAGAGGAGATCTCAGTATATAGTTCAGGCTGGCCTTGAACTCACTAGGTAGCCAAGGCTGGCATTTTCTAGAAATCCTCCTGCCTCAGCTGCTGGAGTGCTGGATTACAGATTACTCAGTTTAAATGTCTGCTTCTGCACCCCTAGTGAAATGCCCAAGATGGGGGACTTTAGGGTTCAGCAAGTCACAGGAGGGGCATGGCTCAAAAGGAAGCTTTGGGTGTGAATGTAGGATCCAAACTGTGTCAGGTGTCACCCGCTAACCAGCCTGCCAGTGGACTGGGTCAGGTCTTGGAGCTCAAATGCTGGGCATGGCAAAGACCAGTGGGTGGGTGGGGGACACAGGGGCAGGAGTGTGCAGGCCCGGGTCCCAGATCCCCCTTTCTCTCTGCCTCATCCTGCAGCCGCTGGTCCGGGAGCCATGCCGCAGCTGTGCCGTGGTGTCCAGCTCCGGCCAGATGCTCGGGTCTGGGCTGGGTGCCCAGATCGACGGTGCCGAATGTGTGCTGCGCATGAACCAGGCGCCCACCGTGGGCTTCGAGGCAGACGTGGGTCGGCGCAGCACCCTGCGTGTCATCTCGCACACGAGCGTGCCACTGCTGCTGCGCAACTACTCCCACTACTTCCAGCAGGCCCGAGACACGCTCTACGTGGTGTGGGGCCAGGGCAGGCACATGGACCGCACACTGGGCGGCCGCACCTACCGCACGCTGTTGCAGCTCACGCAGATGTACCCGGGGTTACAGGTCTACACCTTCACCGAGCGCATGATGGCCCACTGCGACCAGATCTTTCAGGACGAGACGGGCAAGAACCGGTGAGCTCGGGCCACCTTGGCCGGGAGCCTCTTGATGGGCTGGGGTTTGTTCTGGGAGTCAGTATGGGCCTTATTGTAATACCAGGTATTGAGTATTGTAATTCCTTGCTTAGTGCTCCTCACTATCCAAAAAGTTATATTTGTAATGCCATTGAGACGTTATTGGAATCCCGGCAAGTTAATTCCAGTCTACCACCTCCAGTGCAACCCATGGCGAGAATAAAGACACCAAGACATATTCCAAGTTAAGGCAGCCAAGGAGTCCCTGTGAGGATGTGTGGCCAAAGACCCTAGTCCTAGGCCTCTCCCAGAATTTATTATCTTGTGAAGAAGGGGGGTGGCACAGGGATGAGTAACAGTGAGGATGGCAGGAATTACGCAAGTAACTTGAGCTGGCTGGCCAGGTAGGGAGAAAAGCATCTCCACAAAATGCAGGGACAATGATAAGCAGAAGAATCAGTCTGCATAATTCAGTTAAGGTAGTAACTGAATTGTTTTTGGAAGCTATTGCTTCAGTCTCTGATATGTAAACCTTTGTGCCCTGGGAACTCACAGCCTCCTTATTTCGAGGCTCCTACCCAGTTGACATTCCTGGAGCTGACTGGCTCTGCCATCCCGCTGTGCTCGTATCTTTTACAGAGAGCACTATGCAAGGAAACAGGAGACAGTCTGATGGCTTTAGAGATTATAGACCAGTACCTTGGCCAGCCTTGTTTGCAATGCTTAGAGTCCTTTGGAGAGAGAGGAAAACCATAGCCCACTCTGTACATATCAGTGTGTGGAAATAAGCCTGGATGTAATCAGTGTCGCAGTGATGGCTCTGCATTCAAGGAGAGTCACTCAGATTGTCTTCTTCAGCCCTTGTGCATGCAGGCTGGGCTGTGGACGCTGGAGAGGTGTCCATTCAGCCGCGATGATAACCAGAGAAGCACTTATGGGTGTAACTGCCATCTTCCCCTGCTAGGCATTGAGGTAAATGCTCTGTCCAAAATCCTGTTTTCCCTGCAACAGCCTCAAGTGGCTCAACCAAAAACTTGAGCTTATGGAGTCAGGTATGAGCTTATGGAGTCAGATTTATGCCTGTGGTCCCAGTGCTCAAGGAGGCTGAGACAGAAGGATCACAAGATCAAGTCTAATCTGGGCAACTTAATGAGACTTCCATCTCAAAGTTTTAAAAAAAAACCCAAAGTTAGGCTTTGTCCCTGACCACCCTCATGCCATCCCCTGGCATATGCATTTGACTCTCACATTTTCCATGCCTGTGGGTGCCACCTTAGCCCAATCTACAGTCCTTCCTGAGCCTTAGTGCCCTCCCTGCTATTGCCTGTGGCCTTCCTTGACCTCACAGGGTCTTGAACTCACTATGTAGTCAGGACTAGCCTGGAACTCAGCAGCAATCCTCCTGCCTCAGCCTTCTGAACACTGCCCTTCTCCTCGCCATCTGTGTGCCCTTGTCTTTGCAGCAGGTGTCACACACTGACATCACCTTGTTTACATTTGTTTCCCTGCTGCCCATCCCTCGGGAATGTTTGTCCCTGTCTGGCAGGTTCAAGGCCAGCTGCAGGGCCTGGGAGGTTTGAATGAAAGAACCGCCTGGGCTGGCCTCCTCTCAGCCCTGTGCCAAGTGGGATGTAGGGCCGAGCTCACAGGACTCCTCCCCATTGCCACCTAAAATTACTCCCATTTCACAGACAGGTCGATGAGGCTCAGAGGGGTTCATGGTAACTCTAATGCCCTATAGCAGAGGAGGGTTGGAGTGGAAGACTCAGAACACTCCTGTTTTTTTTTTTTTTTTGGTAGTGGTACATGAGATTCTACGCTCTGCCGCTGAGCTGTGCCCTGCCCTTTTTTTTTGTTTTGTTTTGTTTTGAGACACTTTTGTTTTTGTTTTGTTTAGTGACACATGGTGTCACTAAGTTGTCCAGGCTGTGATCCTTTCTGCCTCTGCCTCCTGAATAGCTCGATTCATAGGCCGTCTATCATCTACTCCACCTCTCTTAACCACTGTGCTCTGCGGCCAACTGCTAGCTCCCCAGGCCTGGCCTCTTAGATAAGGATGCAGCCAGAGCTCATACCCAGCGTACCAGGTGCAGAACAGGGCCTAATACAGCCTGTCGGGTGAGGGGCTGGGCACACGTGGCTCAGCAGCCCGTTCCTCCTCTTCTGGCTCTTGTTGGCCTGGGGCTTCCCAAGAACCCCCTGAGCATGGTCTTCGGCACGGAGGGTGCCATGCTGAGGCCCCAAGAGCATGGATGTTGGGAGACTCTATAACAGTGTCCCTGTCTCCCCAGGAGACAGTCGGGGTCGTTTCTCAGCACTGGCTGGTTCACCATGATCCTGGCCCTGGAGCTGTGTGAGGAGATCGTGGTCTATGGGATGGTCAGCGACAGTTACTGCAGGTCAGGTGGCTGCCCACAGGAGGGGAGGTGTGGGGTTCCCAGACCTTGCCAGGGACCCAGGGGCTTTAGGGGCTGCATGTGACAAAGACACAGAAACGCCATGGGCATTAGACCTCAGGAAAACACTCACCTCCCAGGAAAGACTACAGACCCCAGCACTTGCTGGTGTGGCCCTGCTACCTCTTTGGATATAAAATAGAAAAAAAAAGAATTGAGCTTTCTGAGCTGGGAGCTCTGTAATCACAGCACTCTGGGAGGCTGAGGCAGAAGGATCTCAAGTCTGAGCCAAGCCTGGGCAACTTGTGACACCTTGTCTCAAAAAGAGCTGGGAATGTAGCTCAGGTGAAAATTCTGGGTTCCAGCTACACACACACACACACACACACACACACACACACACACACACACACTTTTCCAGGCCAGGGGAAAAAAAAAAAAAAACAGTGGCAACTTTCTCAGAAGGTTGATTAACCATTTAGAGGGAATAATCTAGGAAAGTGTCTCCCACAAACATTAGGAGGATATGTACATGTGTAACATGTATCCCCAGTAGATTACAGATAAGGTTTTATTTACCTTACTGTTTTGGCTTCCTAAATCAGTTCTGCTCCAGAGAGGGCATTTTGTAACTCCGTTACCTTAGTAGACTTCAGTGTTGTTATAACCAGTTCAGACGTGTTCACACCTGCTCATTTTGGAACTTGTTTCAAAGCGCCAGACTCTGTGGCCTGTGGCCTCCTGGGGGTCCCTGGGCAGCAGGGCACCCTGGGCTGACTGCCTCTGTGTGTGGGGAAAGAGGGGCCCACTAGCTGAGACCAGGCCTGGGTCCCAGAGAGGAGGCGGAGGTAGATCCCAGCGTCCCCACCGGCCATGTCCCCACCCTGCAGGGAACAGAGCCACCCCTCGGTGCCTTATCACTACTTCGAGAAGGGCCGGCTGGACGAGTGCCAGATGTACCTGGCACATGAACGCGCCCCACGGAGCGCCCACCGCTTCATCACCGAGAAGGCCGTGTTCTCACGCTGGGCCAAGAAGAGGCCGATCGTGTTCGCCCATCCGTCCTGGAGGGTCCAGTAGCTGCCATTGCCAGCCAGCCAGCCAGCCGCCACACGTCCGATGGGCCTGCGTCCCATCCCTGGCCACCACACTCCACTGAGAACATTTAATTTATGCCTCTTGCCTCCTGCCACATGCTAGGTGGACCTAGGGCTCCTTTCTGCCCCACCCAGGGGACACCCGGGCCATCTCCAGCCCTATGCCTTGAGGGGAACTAGAGAGGTGCCTACCCTACTCCTACTCCCCAAGGACTCATGTCTTGATTTTGGGACTCACCCCACCACCAGGTCTCTCAAGTGGCCTTTGCCCCTGGGGCCAGCGGCCCCACTCACCAGCATCATGATCTGTGCCAGTCCCCATCTGTCCCCTACTCACCCCAGTTGCCTCTGGTGTCACCTTCTCAGGCTGTGGCTCTGACCAGGGTAGCCAGGAACCTGGGGTTTGTGGGCCTCAGGGGCCTCTGGGTGTGGCCACCAGAGCTGTCTCCGGGGTATACGGGTAAATGCATTTTCTGAACACTGTCTGGGGTGGTTGTTTGTCCAGGGTGAGGCCTGGGACTTCCTTCTGGACACAGGCCTGTAACAGATTGAGCAGGGGGCCGGTTGGGCCCTTCTGGGTCCTCTAAGGCTATGCCCTCCCATGCGCTTACACCCCGAAGCCATCCCCCAACCCTGGGTGCTGCAGCTGGGCTGCCCAAGGAGATGGGGCCAAGTCAGATGTTTCTCGGGGATGCCTGGCCTGCACCCCACGGGAATGGAATCAAGGTCAGGTTGGATGAGGCAGTAGGGTGTATTTCCCCCCACCTCACCTTCCTGGCACAAAAGTCAAATCCCAAAGCACCAGGCAGTAAAATTCCCTATTAAGCTGAGATTGATTGCTTTATAGAGAGAATACACAGGTGGCCCTTCAGGGACATTGCCAGAGCGGAAGTGAGGCCTATGCTGGCCCTAGCTGTGGCTGGAGCTTTTCAATCTCAGTTTCATTTCTCCTCCATTGTGAAATGGGAGGAACAAACCTACCAGCCAACCATAAATGTGGCCCTGGCCATGGGAGGCTGAGTCAGGAGGAATCAGGCCCCCCCAAGTAGGAACAGGTAGAAAGAGTAGTAGTAGTAGGAACAGGGGAGGAAGAGGAACAGAGTAGTAGGAACAGGGAGGAAGAGGCCCCCCCAAGTAGGAACCCACCCCTTCCTTTCTTGATGGGGAGAATACGTTCAGAACTCTGGGCTCCTAAGTCTGGGCTTCACTGTCACCAACTTGAGATTACTCATTGTTTCCCAGCACAGAGTCACACCTCCCAAGTGACATAGACAGTCATACTGAAGTCTCTGGGTGACTGGGAACATGCCCTCCTTCCCCTGCCTGCTCAGGAGAGGCCTGGCACTGGCCCAGAGCACTGCCTTTGTTCCTTACCCAGTGCCTGGTGGGCCTATGAGGTTTGCCCAGTGGGAAGAGACAGGAGAATCCCAAATGAAGGTAGCAGGGTGATGGCTTAGCCCAGGCTGGCCATGAACTTGCGGTGATCCTGCTGTCTCAGCCTCCTGGTGCTGGGATTATGGGCCATCCCCATCTGTGTGGTCAGCCCTTGATATGTTGGACCCATTATTTTAAATGGCGTCACCTTCAGCTGGCACAGCCCTTGCTTGGTAGTGACAGATGGGCAGTGGGCTCCCCGCCCACCCTCCCACCTTTCCCCATAGGTGTCCAAGGCCAGGGAAATGTGGCCCAGATAGGATTTGAACCCGTCCCCAGAAGTGGCCACTTTCTCCATCCTCCAGCAGATGCCCAGGTTTAAGAGGCTGGGTCCTGGCCCTCCCCCAGGTGTGGTATTTACTGCTTACTGGGTTGGCCTAAATACTTATCTTTCTGGTGTGGAGACCTGGAAGGAGAGACTTACTGGCCACTTCCACTGAGCACCCAGAGGTGCCCTGTGGCAACTCTGGTAGCTGGTTCAGGTGTGCTTAGAGCTCCAGAGCAGAAGCCTGGGATCCCCTCCCCACTTTTCAGCCATTGGAAGGTGAGTGGTGGGCATAAGTCTGCTCACATTCCCGAGGAGGAGCAGGATGCCTCACCTGTACCCCATCCTTGCCTCTCCATAGTCCACCAGAGCCCAGTGGGCCCTGGAGGCTCGAGTTGTGTCCTCACCTGTATAGCCAAGGCCAGGACAGCAGGCGACCTGGGTGCTATGTGATCAGCCCAGGGCCACTGCCTGTGTTCAGGAAGAACTACTGTGAGGTTGGGGAGCAGTGTTTATGGGGCTCCCGGCTCCCATCTGTCTTCCCTTCCTGCAAGCCCCTTTCCGGCTTTGATAAATCCCCACACCTGGCCCCTAGCCAGGCTCTGTGAGGCCAGGAAGGACCTTGTGCTCTTGCTGGGCCTTGGCTTTGGCCTTGAATTGAAAGCTGGGTGGTGGATGAGGTCTCTGAAAGCTCTTCCCAGAGCACAGTGGAAGGAAGAAAATCATCTGGAGCACAAGTTTGCAAAGGGGTCCAGAATGCAGCCCTATTGCCACAAACTGAGTCCAGGAAAGGAACAACACCCAAGGAAGTCAGGAGGCAGTGAACAGTTTTATTTTACACCAGGGGTCCTGGCTGGAAGAATTTACAACATAAACCAGGCAGTGAGTGTCTGTGAGCCAGCATTTTATAGGAGGCGTATACGGGTGACAGGCGGGACAGGACAGCATGGCAGCTCTGATTAGGTCTTGGGGTGAGGTCATCAGTTATAGGGCTAGATTAATGCCCATCAGTGGCTAGCCTAGGTTAATGACCACGAATCTGGGTACAGTCAAGCATCTGGAATGTTCGGTTATGCTCTTGTGATTACAGGGGTCAAGATAGGAATTACTAAGCCATGAAATGGTCACAGAGCTAAGCAGCATCAAAGAGAACAAAGTTTTAAAAGAACAATTTTTTGCTGGGTATGGTGACTCACACCTGTATTCCCAGCACTCAGGAGGCTGAGGCAGGAGGATTGTTGCAAGTTCAAGACCAGCCTAGACTATAAAGTGAGCTCAAGTCCAGCCTGAACTCATAGACTGTCTCAAAAAGACAAAAACAAAAAACCCCACAAGTTTTCCTAGTACAATTTTCCCTTTCATTTCTCTCTCTTGTCGTTGCTCAGGAAAATCTTTTTCAATGTAAAGCTGCATAGAAGCAGTAGCTCTGGGGGCTGGAGGTTTAGCTCAGTGGCATAAGTGCCTGCCTTACAAGCAGGTAGTCGTAAGTTTGATTCCCGGTACTGAGAAGAAAGGAAAGAGACCAAAAAAAAAAAGACAGTAGCTCTTAGGGCCATTTGGAAACCTATACTGTTGATCTGTTCAGAAACAAAGCAAATAATCCAATTAATCAGGCAGGGCCCTATCAAGAAAATTAACGTAAGGGCTTTCAGGGGCCCTAACTAGGGTCTCAAGTCTAATAGACCTCAGAACCATTCCTGCTTCTGATTTTGTTCTTTGACCTGGTTATCTAGTCTCTCTGGCAATTATTTCAGACCTGGGCTATTATAGACTTATTAGCATAGAGACAGCAGTTTTCTCTCAGGGCATTGCAGTCTCTTCCTCATAGAAAGACTAAATCTAAGCCTGTCCTATTTTGGAGGACAGCTTCAATGAAAGTCTGTTTGGACCTTAAGGATGACATGGTATCTGCAAACCTCGGAGTTCCTGTTCAGTGACTCAGCTAATTGATTTAGTCAGTTAGCTGGGGACTAAAACAGCTGTTCCAGACAAACCAGCTTGGCTTATCCCAACCCAGGTTGGTATTACCTGGATGGCCCTCTCAGACCCGTACTGGGTGCTCTCCACGGGCCTTGGCTTTGGCTTCTTATTGGGAACTGGGTGGTAGATAAGATCTCCCCGTGATATAGGGAAGGGAAACTCCCTCCCTGCTAGATGTCTGGTACAAGTTCGTGTTCTCCAAAATCAAAGGATGAATTTTAGGAACAATGGAGGTTTAGAGTGGGATGTATTTTCTGAGAAAGAAAGCGTCTGTACTAGAGAGAAAGAAGGGGTCCTGAGTGGGTTGCCAAAGACCCTACCTTTTCTAGGGATTTTTATAGAGCAAACACATGAGGTGAGGTGAGTCTAAGGTGGGAAAAATGGGAGCTCACAAGGCGGGCATGAGGTAGGATGCAACCGAGGTCAACTAACAGGATTACGGGTGTGATTGCTCAGGTAAAGTTGATGAAATGGGGATCAAATGGGGAAGTGAGTCACTGGCAAGAATACAAAATGGGGCCTTGACCTGTAGGGGTTGGTTAGTGGCTCCCCACAAGGAAGTTTGCAAAGGGATCCAGGGTGCGGCCCTGTTACTGCAAAATTGAGTTCAGGAAAGGAACAACACTCAAGGAAGTCAGGAGGCAGTGAACAGTTGTATTTTACACCAGGGGTCCTGGCTGGAAGAACTTACAACAAAGACCAGGCAGTGAGTGTCTGTGAGCCAGCATTTTATAGGAGGCGTAAACGGGTGACACAGGCGGAACAGGACAGCATGGCAGCTCTGATTAGGTCTTGGGGTGCGATTATCAGTTATAGGGCTAGATTAATGACCATCAGTTGCTAGCTTAGGTTAATGACCACGAATTTGGGTACAATCAGGCATCTCGTATGTTGTGTTATGCCATCATGGTAATAGGGCTCAGACAGCAGTTACAGAGCCATGAAACAGAGCCAGGTGGCTTCAGAGAGAACAAAGTTTTAAAAGAACGATTTTTTTTTTTTTATTGGTACTGGGGACCAAACTCATGACCATGTGCTTGCAAGGCAGGCACTTATGCCGCTGAGCTAAATCCCCAGCCCCAAAAGAACAATTTTTCTAATACAGTTTTCCCTTTCACCTGTGGGGTTCTCCCAGGCTTGGGGTATTAATCCTAGCTCTGCCACCTGTGTGTTCTCTGAGCCTCAGTTTCCCCCGGAAAGTTGAGGTAACAGTGGCACCCTTGGCACAGGTTATTTTAGGGATTCCGTAGGAGTGTGTTTGCAGGGTGTTGTGCAGAAGGAGCTCTCACTGTCCTCACTTTTGGGGTGGACAATCCTGGTCCCTCAAACACCCAAGGGAAGCCAGCCCTGAGGAAGAGCCTGCTGCAGTCAACGTGGGCCCAGGAACCTCACAGGCCTGGGGGGTGTGCACCAGGTCCCACTGTGATCTGGAGGCCAGCTGAGGCACCCTGTCTCACTTTGTGATCCTAGGGCTTGGGTTGGGGACAGAGCGCTTCTACCTTTGGTGTAGCCCCTGACCTGTCATCAGGGCCCCCACCCCTGCCACCTCCACTCTGGTTTTATATTCTGCAGCTGGCCGGGCTGGGGGGGGCGGTGCTGAGGCTCAGGAAGTGGTGATCTGGGGCACGGCTGGCTGGCAGGAAGCCACATGTCCACTCCTGGGGGACAGCCATTCCCCTTACTGATGGCAGGTGATTTACAGCCCCGTGGGTGGGCCTTGTCCCCCACCCTTTAACTGATCTGTTTTAATGAAAAACAGAATGTTACTAACTTACCAAATTAGTACAGTGCAAACATTCTACAAGTTCATATAAAGTTTTTAAAAGTTTATAAAATGAAGGTAGCCCCATCCCCCCTGTCTCCTGCCGCCTGCAAGGACACCGAGCTCAGCAGTCCCTGTGATTTTTGTCCTGACACCTGCACATGCATTTGCCTGCTATGCAAAGATGACTGTGCTAAAAAAAAAAAAATCAGACTTGGTGTGGTGGTGCACACCTGTAACCCCAGCATTTGTGAGACTGAGACAGGAGATCACTGTGAGTTAGAGGCCAGGCTGGGCTACATAGCGAGACACTGTCTCAAAAAATGAAAGAAAGCAGCACCAAAAGAAACAAATGAAAAAGCAGGCAAGGCTGGGGAAATAGAGAAGTTGCCTGGCATATCAGAGGTCTAGGTTTGATCTCCAGTGCAGGGAAGAGGAAAAAAGGAAGGCTATACTATATGCAGTTCCACTTTAGAAATTTAAAAATACATCTAAAATACAGTTAAACATTGTACAACCATTGTGTTAAATTTTGGAAAATACAGTTAAGCCAAAGTCGGCAAAACAGCCTCCCCATCCTATCATTCCAAAAATAGCAAAACACTGTCATCACCACGCTAGGAAAAGGGTATGCGTTTTGATTTGGTTTATCTCTTCTTCACCTTTATCTTTTTTTTTTTTTTTTAATCGGTATCGGGGATCAAACTCACGACCGCCTGCTTGCAACGCAGGTGCTTAGCTTACCTTGCAAGAGGTGCTGAGCTAAATCCCCAGCCCCTCTTCTTCACCCTTTAAAAAAAATTTTATTTTATTTATTTGGTACTGGGGATCGAACTCACAACCTCAAGCTTGGTACTGGGGATTGAACTCACAATCTCAAGCTTGCCAGGCAGGCACTCATGCTGCTGAGCTAAATCCCTCACCCTCTTCTTCACCTTCTTTTCCAATATTGTAATATACACTGAGAAGCACATGTATCATGTTTGTAAACTCTGTTGTGTACAAAATATCACGATCCCCTTCAACTCAGCCCCCATTTAAAGCCTAGACCTTTAATTTACAAGTCTCTTCATTTCTTCTTAGGGACAGAATTATTTTATTTTACTTTATAAAGAACAAAACCAAACAAAGAATAAAGCTAATCAGAACAGAACAATGAAAGTGACACAGGCCTTCAAAACAAGACAATAGGAAATCAACAATGGTGACCATAATGCCTCTTGTTATTTTCAAAATGCCTGTCAGACACAGTCAAATCAAACAGAACAAGATGGAATAAAACCAAACCTAACAAAACTATGAAAACGATTCAGGAATTCCAAACAAGATAATAGGAAATTAACAATGGTTACTACCTTCCTTTTTTAAGGCATTTCCTGCCCTATCACTTCCATAATATCTATTTTACATTTTGGATCCCACTAACTGCTTCAGTTTGTTATGCTAGGGAGATGACAGGATGTTCACTCCTATGAGTCCAAACCATTTCACCCATAAGGTGATCTCAAGTTGCATCTATTTACCTACAAGAGCCTCAAGGTTATCCTTTATAGCTGAGTAGTTTTCCATACTATGAAAACACCACGTCTTTCTTGTCCATTCTGCAGCCGATGAGCAAACTACCCCTGCTTTTTTCTGGTTCCCTGTCACATGAAACAATTCTTTTTTCTCCTTTGACTTTCAGTCTATGAATTTCCTTTCCAGTTAAATGTGTTTGTTGTATCCAGCTTATTGATGGATTTTGTTTCGTGATCTACTCTCTTTTTGTTTCTTTTTATTGGTGAACTGAGGCCATTACATTAATGGTTACAATTGGTTCATCTCTGCCCTGCTGTCCTCCTGCTCTTGGCCCTCCACTTTTCCCCTTCATTCAATTGCCTGTTTTGTTTGGCAATCCTCTCTTGCTGCTGTTCCTGGAACCATGGTCATCTTTATCTATTCCTAGAATTTTTTTTTTTTTTTTGTACCAGGGATCGAACTTACATGTCGCTGAGCTAAATCCCCAGCCCCGGATCTTGATTATTATATGTCTGGGTATAGATTTATTTTGCTTATGGGTGTAGATTTATTTTGCTTATGGCTAGTTGGAGTTCTCTATGCCTCACTGATCTGTATGCCAGGTCCTTTTCCCATGTTTGCAAAGTTTTCTGCTATTACAGAAGTAAATAGTCTTTTTATGCCATTTGTGTTGACCCTTGCTATTTTGCTGACCCTATCACTCTTTTTTTTTTTTTTTTTGCGCTGTCTTGCATCTGTTGAATTGTTATTTCCTGGTTTCTTATAATTTCTAAGAGATCTTTCCTTTCATAATCGCTAGGTGTAATCCTGTCTTCAAGGTCTAAAAGTCTATATTCAGTCTCTTTCAAGTGGTTTTGCCAGCTATTAATGGAGTTTTTAATTTCCTAGATGTCTCTCTGAATCTGTTTCATGCATTATAATTCCTTCCTATATTGTTCATTCAAGGTTTCCATCATTTTCCTGTGCTCTTCTTTTTCATCTATGTCTTCTTTAGATGTGCTCAGCAATTCTTTCATTGTGCTTATGATTTCTTCTTTTACCTGAGACTTAATTCTGATCTGATTACTTTTATAGACCCATGAAGTTGTTTCTTTACTTCAGTTGCTATCCTCTCAGAGATTTCAGTGTGTGCCTTCCATTTTCTTCCGTTTCTGTATCTCCCGGACCTGTTCTGTGTGGGCTGGAAGTCTTTTGCTTCTTCATCTTGATGGATTCCTCCCAACAAGCTAGTTGTGGGATCCCAGGTGCCTACCATATTTGCAGCCCCTCCACAGTGCAGAGCGATGGGGCAGGCACCTGGGTTTGTCCGAACCCAGGTTCGCCGGGAGGCAGTGGGGCAGGGCGTGGCTTCTCCAGACCTGCACAGCTACACCAACGCTTCCTGGAGGGCCGTGAGTGTATGGCGGCGGGGCTGCTTCCTCTCTCACCTGTATGGCAACACCGGGACTCCCCCAGTGGCAGCAGGGGCTCAGCGGCCTGTTTGTATGATTCTCCTGGCCCAGTTGCCAGCTGCCAGCTTGTTGGCCAGTGTATGGCCAACAAACATTCTCCTGTGGGTGAAGGGCCGGGTCTGGCTGTTTCTCCCTCTGAGGCCGTTCTTTTAAAACCATTTATTTGTTTATTTAGGTTTTTTGAGACAGGGTATCACCATGTAGTTCAGGCTAGCCTTGAATTCTTTTTTTTTTTTTTTTTTGGTCTTTTTCATTTTTATCAGTACCGGGGATCGAACTCACGACTGCCTGCTTGCAAGGCAGGTGCTTATGTCGTTGAGCTAAATCCCCAGCCCCTAGCCTTGAATTCTCCATGTAGCACAGAGTGTCCTAGAACTCAGTGATCCTCCTGCCTCAGCCTCGTGAGCATTGGGATTACAGGCTGGTGCTGTCCACGCTGTCTTTTTCGTCCTCAGGTCTCTAAGATCCATTGTGTCACACTTGCTCATTAATAACGCTAACTATGGGGGCTGGGTATTTAGCTCAGCGAAATAAGCGCCTGCCTTGCAAGCAGGCAGTCATGAGTTCGATACCTCGTATCGATAAAAAGGAAAAAGACAAAAAATTTTTAAAAATACTAACTATACAATTTTCTCTAATGCAAAAGGGCCATTATGTGAAAAAAAAAATTTCTTTCGTTGAGAGCTACTTGAACAATTTCCACTTCTGAATTTTTTTTTTTTTCTTTTTGAGACAGGGTCTCGCTATGCAGTTCAGGCTGGCCTTGAACTCACTTTGTAGCCGAGGCTGGTCTCGAACTCTCAAGGATCCTCCTGCCTCAGCCTCCCAAGTGCTGGGATTACAGGCATGAGCCACCACACCCAGCTACTTCTGAATTATTTCAAGCAGGGCTGCTATGAACTTGGTGCTGTGTATTTACCAGAATTTCTCCATGGTATATGTACTAAAGTCCAGAATGGAAATTTTTACAATTTTCTTTTCCAAAGCGGTTACACAAGATGCCGTTCTTGTTCTTCAAAATTACTTCCCTTTCCTAAGTGTCCTGTAAATGTATCCTGTAAATGTCCTGCCTCCCACATCGACCTGCCTGCTTCATTTTAACAGCCTGGCAGCGGTTTCCTTCTCCTAACAATGGCTACTTCATTTGTGATTTTTCACAGCCACATAAAACGCTGTAATGAATAGCCTGGTAATTAAAAGAAGTAACATTTCAAAACCTTGTTGTCTCTATTGTAGAAGCAAGAGAAAGGAAGTAAAGCATCACACAATTACCCAGGTGTGGTAGGACGCCTGTCATCCCGGCACTGTGGGAGGCTGAGTCAGGAGGATCTCAAATTCAAACCCAGCCTGGAAAACTGAGACCCTGTCTCAAAATTTTAAAATGGGCTGGGAATGCAGTTCAGCTCCAAGGTCCTGGATTCAGTCCCAGCGCGGGAGGAGGGAGCTTGTGCAGCTGTAGATACAGCATACCTACAGCTCTGAACTCAGGTACTTCCCAAGTGACCTGAGTGAGCTTGGAGGCCATAGGTCAGGGGCTTAGGGAGAAACTGACTCAAGAGCGGCCAAGCCCAGCGTGTTCCCGGACTCAGTTTCCCTATCCGGGGTCGCGGTCCCACTAAGACAAGAGTTGGACCAGATTCACACCACAGGCTCCCGAAGACTGTGGTCTGCTTCCTTGTCGCCACGGGCTGTCCCGAGGGGTAATGGATGAGCTGGAGCTGCGGGGACCCGGGTTGCACCATCCTGGGCGGGGCCACCCGCGCCCGAGGCTCCGCCTCCTCGCAGGCCTGGGCTGGGCGGTGAGCGGCGGCGCTAGGACCCGGCGGCGGGGCTGCGGCATCCTGGGCCGAGCGGCGCGACCCCGGCTCGGGTCCCGGCGCCATGTGAGGGGCCCGGGGCCGCGGGGGCCGGGCGCTCCCCGCCGGAGGTGAGGGGCGCTGCGCGGGGCGGGAGGTGGGGCTGCCCGGGTGTGGGGGGCTCCTGCGAACCGCTGGGGCGGGGCGATGTGGGCCCGGGGCTCCCCAGGACCCACCCGGGCGCCTGCACCCCAGACCCCGGCGCGCGCTTGCAGGCGATTGCAGGGTCCCCGGGGCCCCCTCCGCTGCCCCCTGCGAGGGCTCGGGACCGGCCGCGACGCCGCGTCTCCCCATCCTGCCGGGGCTGAGGTTCCGCGCAGAGGGGCGCAGGTGTGGCTCTGCACCCCCATGCCCCGGACCTCTCCCCTAAGCGGCTCGATGGGGGAGATCGCCACCCCCGGGGTCCCCGTGCAGGGAGGAGCGGACCGCACCCCACTCCAGCCACCTTCAGCTGCAGGCCTTTCCCTGGGGTCCCCAGGAGGCCCGTGAGGCTCCGCCTTTTGACAAGCGCGTCATGGCTCCCTGAACCTGCCAGGCAAGGCCTCCCTGAACCTCAGTCTCCTCCTCTGTGAAATGGGGGTCAGGGCGGCGTGGGCGTCGCCAGGGGACTCGGGGAGTGGTCGAAGCTTGGCGTGGCTCAAGCACCCCCTCCAATTAGAAAGGAGTCGCGGGGTTGGGGTTCAGAGTGGGGGCGGTCACAGGGTTGAGGTTCATCACCAAGCAAGCCGCTAGGTCTGGACAGAGTAACCACAGGGGAAGGGGCGCCCCTGGCACAGTGGAACATTTTCCAGCCCGGGCACCCTCAGCCACCTCTGTGCGGATCCTTCCACGACCCCCAGAGTTACCTCCTCTTATTGTTCCCGTTTTGCAGATGAGGAAACTGAGGCTCAGAGAGGTCACATGGCTTGCTCAAGGCCTCCCAGCCAGTAAGTGGTGGAACCGGGGTTCGCAGTGGGACCTGACATGCTGTCCTGACCGTGGCTTCCCCAGAGCAGGATTGGGACCCGGGGGACGATGGGCCCGGCCGGCTCGAGGGCTCTGCTGAGGCACAGGTGGGCAAGTGGGGGAGGGAGGTGTCTGGAGTGAGGGCCTGCGGGGCCACCCAGGGACTCGGCGCTCCTGTCTGTGCCCTAACGGTCTGTGAGTGCCAGGACTAGCGGCTTCCCGGTTCCAATGAGCTTCATTTTCTGATCTGTGCAGCGGAGACTGATGAGAGCCCGGGGTCTCCCTCACTGGCCGTGAGGGGCCGGCCCGCAAGAAACCTGAATCTTTGGAGGGAGGGTGGGGCGGGGCCTGGCCTGGCCAATCAGGGACGATGTGTGTGTGTCTGGCCAAAGGTTTTTCCTCTATTCCTGGTGACCGTCTAGGAGTAAACAGCCGCTGGGTCAGGGGAAAGAGACAGTGGCCAGTGTCAAGTGCCCTAGGAGGAGGGGACCGACTGGGAACTCCCTCCTGTTTCTCCCTGTGTACACTGTCCCTTTCTGCCCTCTGGCCTGTGCCTGCTGGAGGCAGGCTGGACACAAGTGCTGGTGCCTGGCTACAGGTGGGGACAGAAAATCGGGTAGGTCTGGGTTCCGGGAGGTGTGGACATGGGGGCAGGAAAGCGGCATGGAGAAGGGTGAGCCAAGAGCCAGGCCTGCCTTTCTCGGACGCTAAGCCGAGGCCGTGGCCCTGCCATCTCATTTGTTGGGGGACAGATTCGTTCAGCCTCCAGGGCCCCAGGGGAAGGTCGATCAGGAACCTGCTCATAGAGGGCTCTGGCCCAAGCGGAAAAAGGACCCTGGAAGTTCCTGGCCCACTCCAGGCTCAGAGATGAATGGGAGTCAGGCAGGTGCTGGAGGGAGGGCACTCCAGACAGAGGGGTGTAACCTGGAAGCGGGAGAAGGACAGGGGAGGAGTTTGGGGACCTCTGATGAAAGGTTTACAGCAGGCGGGGCAGGGGCCCCAGCTGGGTGGGTCGAATCAGCTGGGTGGGTGCTATTACCTGGCTGTGTGACCTCCAGGCAGGCTCTTTTCTTCTCTAGGCCTCTAGTTCTGTATCTGGGAAGTGGGTATAAAAGTTCTGGATGGGAAGCAGAGCTGACGGGCTACAGATCGGGGGCCTTGGACTCACTGGACCCACAGCAGGGCACCAAGTCATGACCCTCTCTGATGGCTTGCAGGTGTGACCCCACATCCCTGCCCCTTGGGCCATCTGTAGGACGCTGGCCCCTGCCCTTCAGCAGACGCCATCGAGAGATGAGTAGCAGCAAAGTAAGTGCCCTCCCATTCTTATTCCCCTTTGGGAAATGGGCTGCTTGGGACCTGCATGTGGCCTGGCCACTATGCCTCTATTTCCCCTGAGGAGCAGCAAGACCCAAGTTTGAGCCTTGCTTTGGCCACTAAGTGGATTGCACCTCTCTCTGGGCTCAGGGTACCCTCTGTTACCCTAGGCTTGGCTGCAGTGTGTACAGGAGGTGGGGTGATAGAGGTTATCAGAGTCAAAGATGACACAGTGTACAAGTCATCCCAGAATGTCAACGCCCTCCTCAGTCATTCAGTCATTCGTGTGTGTTTTCCCGAGCACCCGCCGTGTGCCTGGCCCTGCACACTGTTTCCCTGGGATCTGTCACAGCCTTGGCCAACTGTGAGGTTTGAGGGTGCAGGAGAGACAGGGTGTATTAGTCTGAGTATCACAGAGAGAGGCTGAATAGTACATTAAACAAGAAAGGCTTAATGCCAAAAATTCTCAACAGTCAGTGGGCCTTGGAATTTATTTATTTATTTATTTTTTTCCTTTTTATTGTTACCGGGGATTGAACTCATGACTGCCTGCTCACAAGGCAGATGCTTATGCCGCTGAGCTAAATCCCCAGCCTGGGCCTTGGAATTTGAAGGAATATAGATAGTCTGACTTTATTGTTTGACTTTAGGACTTCCAGTTTTCTTTTATTAACATTATTATTATCATTATTATTATTTGGAGATTGAACCCAGAGGGTTTGCACTGAGCTATATTCCCATCCCTTTATTTTATTTTTCTTTTCATCCTGAGACAAGGTCTCACTAAGTCACCAGGTTGCCCAGCTTGGGCACAAGCTTGTGACCCTCTGCTGTCACGATGCTGAGATTACAGGTGTGAGCCAACACACTCTGAGCTCTTGATGGCGTAAAAGTGGTTTGTGTTCTGTTGGAACCATACTCTGTACCTGCAGTTGGGTCTTGTCTCTGGCGGAAGTGATACTGGCCACAGCCTGCTACGATCAAAGGAGGAAACCACTCTATCCTACAGTGAGCCCGTTGCTAAGCGAGGAGGTTTGGGCTGTTCGACATAGGCAGTGCATTCTCCATGTAGAATGTTTCAGGTGTAGCTAGATTGTGAGTCAAGGAGCGTCCTACAGATACGGGTATAAGGAGTGCCCCCACCTGAGGACACAGTGACGCCCACTGGGTGCCATGCCAAGGGACCTAGGGAAGGGAAGCTGTTGGCGTCTGGGTGCTACAGGCAGTTGAGTATCAGGGACCTGGTTTTGGACCATTGATCTCCTGCTCAGAGGTATGATGATGGAATAAAATGCAGGCAAAATATATACACCATAGTTCCAAGGAGCCCCAGGATGGTCAGAGCCCAGTGACAGGCTAGAACCCTGAGGCATGGGGTCTTTGGCTTTTATTAAGTGTACAACTGCACTGGGAAGGAGGTGCTGGTGGGCTGCAGGAAGGGCTGGGGATGAACTGCTGACGTGGTCAAAATTCAAAAATTGAGAAACAGTGCATTTTTAGAAAACCACACAGCAATGGATCAGGGTTAACTCGTAACCTGATTGCCTGCTCCCTGTGACTGCTGAGTGAGATGGGATTTGCACGAAGTCAGGTCCTCAGCTGCCTCATTACTCTGCTCTGAGCCACTAGAACTGATGTTCACTAGCCTTGGCTCTGGCCCTTGGTTTATTAATCTTTCCCTGGATCATGTAGACCTAGGACAGACTCTAAGTTTTCTTTTTGTACCAATTCATTATTATATTAATTATTGCCTGCTTCTACCAGGTCAAGCTGGTCCTCAGCAGTTGAGTGGTGTAGGAGCTGAAGTATGGGACACTATCATCCCAGCAGGAGCTGCTGCTCAGTGCTGGAGAAACCCAGGGCAAGGCAGGGCCTCCAAGTGAGCAGGCTGCAACTGAACTAAGGCCTTTACTCCTGCGCTGTCTCTTCAGCGCCCTCTATCGACAAAAATGAATATGCAGCTGGCTGGCGAAGGCAAATTAAAAAGGACCCAGAGTAACGTTCACAGACAGAGCTGGCAAAATAGATGAATTTGGAACTGAGTGACCATGCAGTCCTTTTTACTTTTAATTTTAAATGAGTCTCACCTAAGTTGCCCAGGGTGGGCTCAAACTTGAAATCGTCCTGCCTGAGCCCCCGAGTAGCTGGGATTACAGACATGCACTACAACACCAAACTTCTAGGTTATTTACAAACCTATAGTTGCACATGGTATTATCTAGGGGATAATGAAGTCTCTGCATGCTCAGTAGAGATGCAACCATTGTAGGTTTGTGTCTCCCTTGTTGCTCTTGTTGTTTGAATTGTGAATGCAGAACTTACAGGTATGGCCTGTAATACTAGCACTCTGAGAGGCTGAGTGAGGAGGACTGCAAATTTGAGTCCAGTCTGAGCAACTTAGTGAGACTCTGCCTCAAAATAAAAATTACAAATGGATAGGGATATGGCTTAGTGGGAAGGTCCTGGGTTCAATCCTTAGTATCACAAAAAAATTAAATAAATAAAATAAAAAGGGTATAGAGAACTGTTGATATCTTACCAAGAGTTACTGCTGGGGGAAGCCCTGGCCCCCCACCTAGACATCTTGAGTGTCTATGGGCATCTGTTTAGCTGTAGCTGGAGGACATCCTGACACACGCATGCAATCCAGTTAGGCAGTTGCTCCCTGAACCTTCTTTGTTGTTTTTGTTGTAGATTCCTGGTTTCTGGTTTTTTGTGACAGTGTTTCACTATGTCATTCAGTCTGGTCTTGATTTTACCATGTAGGCAAGGCTGCTCTCAAACTTGCATCCATCCTCCTGCCTCAGCCTCCTGAGAGCTGGGATTACAGACATGAGCATCCAAGGGATCTGGAATGCCAGGCTGGCTCAGGCACAGGCCCAGTCCTCAGAGTTGCTGCTGTACTGGCAGAACTGGTGTGGAGTGTGGAGCAGGAGGTCTGAGGTGTGCTGCTGGTGGGGCGAGGTGGGCAGTTTCCTCACGGTCTCTCCTTTCTGCAGGAACAGCGGTCAGCAGTGTTCGTGATCCTCCTTGCGCTCGTTACCATCCTCATCCTCTACAGCTCCAGCAGTGCCAATGAGGTCTTCCACTACGGCTCCCTGCGCGGCCGCACGCGCCGGCCCAACTTCAAGAAATGGAGCCTCACTGACGGCCTCACCCCCATTCTGGGTAACAAGGTAGTACAGACACCCTGGGGGCTCCCTGGGGTTGCTGGGGGCTCATCCTCCATTGCCCATGCCACCCCTTCCTCCTCTTCCTTCTCCTCTTTCCTGTATACCCTCCTTCCAAAAGGAAAGGGATTACATCTGGCCAGCACCCGGGAAGCTGAGGCAGGAGGATCACCATGAGTCCGAGGCCAGCCTTGGGCTTCACAGTGAGTTCAAGGCCAGCCTGAAATACACATCAAGCCCTTGTCAAACAAACAAAAGAAAACAAAAGCAAAGAGTGAACCCCAGGAGTCAAGGCCTCCAGCAACTTTACCCTGTTGGTCACTGTGACCTTAGACCAGTGCCCTGCCCCTCTCTGGTCCTCGGTCTCCCCAGGTCCCCCCCCGCAGGACTATGTGTACCCCTGATCTCTGGGATCTCTAGGGAGTCCATGGGGGTTTGGGGACAGGATACCAGGGTGCTGGACAACTCCAGAGCAGTAAGGCTGGCTCCCCGATAGTGGGTGCCTGCTCTGTGCTGGTTACCAGTAATCCTCAGGCGAATCCTTCAAGGCCAGCGTTACCACCTCCTGTGAAGAGATGGGGTCACTGAACCTCAGAGAGGGGAAGCCACTTGTCCAAGGCCACATAGCACTGGAGAGGAAGAGCAGGAGAATCTTTCCTGCCCCTGCCAAGGGGTCGCTTCCTTGAAAATCATTTGTGGTTCCTTGGTGGTTCACTTACTGGTCAGGTCATTCCTGGGGACTTCTGTTAGATTATCCAAGCCGTGACATTCAGGTTCTGTTTCTGGAGTTCAACCTGTAGTGCCTCTCTCCTCCTTCACTAATCCTTCTTAAAATTTCCCAGGGCCTTTGCACATCCAGTGAGAGCCCTGGCTCTGTTCTTTTTTTATTTTTGGTACTGGGGATCAAACTCACAAGGTTGCACTTGCCAGGCAGGTGCTTAGCTGCTGAGCTACATTGCTAGCCCTCCTGCCTCCATTCTTCCTATGGTTGTATTTCTTTGTTTTGTTTTTTTGAGACAGGGTCTCCCTACACAGTTCAGGCTGAACTCACTAGGTAGCTCAGGCTGGCCTTGAACTCCAGGCAGTCCTCCTGAGTGCTGGGATTACAGGCATGCACCACCACACCCTGCTTTTTCTTCCTGTTGTTAACTCCCTCCTCACCGCTGCTGACCTCCTTTCTCAGCTCCACCTTTATCCCTATCTCAGTTTTTATGCCTCCAGTTCCTCCTTCCCCGAATGCACTTATCCTTCTGGTCTCCACTCAGCGAGGCCTCCCTGATGCACCTTCTAAAGAGGACTCTGATCTTCTTCCAGGTGCTTGGGATCACCTGACCCTGTTTTGTTTTTTCTAGCGTGTATTATTTATGTTCATTGTTTGGCTCCCCAACTGACAGTTCTTTTTTAAATGGTACTGGGGACTGAATGCAGGATCTTTGTGTTGAGCCCCAGCCCCAGCCCTTTTTTATTTTTTATCTTGAGGCAGAGTCTCATTGAGTCACTGAATCTTCCTGCACAATCTTCCTGCCTCAGCCTTCCAGAAAGCTGAGTTTATGAGCATGCACCAAGATGCCTGGCCTTATTGCAAGATAGTTTTTTGCTTTTGTTTGTTTGTTTGAGACACAGCCTCAGTATGAGTTTCAGGCTGGCCTTGAACCCACTACTTAGCCCAGCCTGGCCTGAAATTCCTGGTGATCCTCCTGTCTCAGGGTCCTCCTGAGTGCTCAGATTACAGGTGTGCACCACTGTACCTAGCACACCAGTAAGGTTCTTGAGGGCAGAAACTGGGTGTCTCTTGCTCATTTCTCTGCCCCCAGTATTTGGCCATTGATCGGCTTATTAGAAATATTTGCAGAACGTGGGAAGAATGGCCATGGTTTCTCTATCTTTACAGTGGGCATACTGATTGGTGGCTCCTGGAGGCCTGGTTGTACAGAGCACAGGACTGTGCAGAGAATGACTGTGACAGTGTTGGCTTGTCCTCCTCCCCCCAGACCCTGCCTTCCCGGTGCCACCAGTGTGTGATTGTCACCAGCTCCAGCCACTTGCTGGGCACCAAACTGGGCCCCGATATTGAGCGAGCGGAGTGCACCATCCGCATGAACGACGCACCCACCACGGGCTACTCGGCTGATGTAGGCAACAAAACCACCTTTCGGGTGGTGGCCCACTCCAGCGTATTCCGGGTGCTGCGGAGGCCCCAGGAGTTTGTCAACCGGACCCCCGAGACCGTGTTCATCTTCTGGGGGCCCCCGAGCAAGATGCAGAAGCCGCAGGGCAGCCTGGTGCGCGTCATCCAGCGGGCAGGCCTGGCGTTCCCCAACATGGAGGCCTACGCCGTCTCTCCCGCCCGCATGCAGCAGTTCGACGACCTCTTCCGGGGTGAGACGGGCAAGGACAGGTACCAGCGCCCCGTCCCGCCTGCGCACTCGGCACGGCCACCTGTGGGGCCTGTTGCACCCAGCATGCGCTGCTCCAAGCGCGTAGTTCTCGCCAACCCCTGGGCAGGTTTCCTAGGAGAGTTCTCCAGTCCGGCTGTTACCGTGGCCTCATCTTCCTGGCAGTTTCCTCCCAGTATGCTTTGGTCTGAGGGACAAGTATCCCAGCATGCTCTGCTCCAAAGTTACATAGCTGCTCCCAGTGTCTTTTTAGGAGAGCTCCCAAGGCAAAGAGTATTCCCAGCATGCCTTGCTTTAAGCGCATACTGCTCTCTGCATGGTCTATTCTCTGATACCTCATTCCCAGCATGCCCTTCTCTTACTGCTCTCCCTAGAAAACCTACATTATCACCGTCCAGTATAAATATAATATGACCCACATAAGTAATTTTAAAATTCACAGCAGCCACTTTTAAAAAGTTAAAAAAAGAAGAAAGAAAGAAGCCAAACCAGTTAATGTATTTAACTTTAATGTATTTTATTTAACCCAATACATTCAACATATAGCTCAAAGATGTATTTTGTTATGCTTGCATCTAAATATTAAAAAAATTTTAGAGCTACTTAAAGGATTTTGGGAGGTACCAGGAATTAAACTTATGACCTTGCACTTGCCAGGCAAGCCTTTGTGCCCCTGAGCTAAATCTCCAGCCCCTTAAAGGACATTTTTTAAAATGTTGGAGGTTTCTCAACTGTTCTTTGCCAGTATATAGAAATATGATTGGTGTTTGTGTGTTGACCTTGTAACTGCTAAGCTCCCTTATTGGTTCTAGCAGACTTTTGTAGATTTTTTTTCTATAATTATATTCTATGCAAATAAGGAGAGTTTTACTTCTTCCTTTTTATTTTATTTTATTTATTTATTTATTTATTTATTTATTTAGTATTATTGAAACAGGGTCTCATTATGCAGTTCAGGCTGGCCTTGAGGTCACTTTGTAGCCCAGGCTGGTCTTGAATTCACAATGATCCTCCTGCCTCAGCCTCCCAAGTGCTGGAATTACAGGTATACACCACCACACCCGACTTACTACTTCCTTTTTAATCTGTGCCTCTGTTTCTTTTTTTCTTGCCTTATTGCATTGGCTAGTATTTCCAATACAATGTGATTGTGTTCAAAGTGGTAAAAGTAGGTTCCTTGTCTTGTCCTAGTCCTAACGATTGGGAGAAATTTTCTAGACTCTAGACTCCTAGTCTAGTCTAGAGTCCTAGTCTCTAGACTAGGAGACTAGGAGAAATTTTTCCTTTAAAAAAATTATTTTTTTAATTTCAGTTTTTCATTCTTGAATCTGATATTACCTATAGGGTTTTTGGTAACTGATGGTTATCAGGTTGAGGAAGGTCTCTTACTGGTTTGCTGAGACTTTTTACCATTACTAGGTATTAAATTTTATAATTTTTTTTCTGTTGCAATTGATATAATCAATGTCATTTTTCTTAAGATATTATTAATAAATAAGTGTGTTGTATTGGTTGGTTGTTGAATACTGAATCAGCCTTGCCTTTCTGGAATAAACTTTACTTGCTTGCGGCATCTATTGCTGGCTATAATCTGTTAATATTTTGTTGAGGTGTTTGTATCTGTGTTCATAAGACATACTTTGATCTGTAGGGTTTTATTTTGGGGATGCTAGTATGGAACCCAGGCCTTCTGCATCCTTGGCAAGCACTCTACCACTGAGCTACACCTTCAACCCTCATAGGAGTTTTGGGCTCACTTTGTTTTGGAGGGAAGGGAGGTTTACTGGGAATTGAACTCAGAATCTCACACTTGCCTGGCAGGGGCTGCACCACTGAGCTAAATCCCTGACCCTCTTTTTTTGGTGTTTGCTAGTGAAACTGTCGGGCCTAGAGAGTTCTTTCTTTCTTTTTTGTCTTTTTAAGACAGGATCTCACTATGCAGTTCAGGCTGGCCTTGAACTCACTTTGTACCCCAGGCTGGCCTTGAACTTGCAATGATCCTCCAAGTTGTCAAATCTGTGTATGTGGTTGTTTGAGGAATTTTCTTATTACCCTTTTAATGTCTACTAGGGATGTGGTGACTTCCTCTTTTATTTCTGATACTGATATAATATGTTGTCTTTCTTTTTCTTTGTCAGTTTTGCTGGAGATTTTTCTGTTTCAAAATAAATCTTTTTAGTAAAATACCTTTACCAAATATATGTATTTTGAGTGTACCGTGTAAAACTATCAATGACATAGTTTATGTTTCTTTTTCATACTGTCCAAGAAACCTGGTGTATATTTCACCACACAGCAGGTACTCACTGACCACACAGAGCTGGTGGCCATCTTAGAGGAAGACTGGCCACTGTCTCTTGCCTCGCTCCGAGCTGTGGTCACTCCAGCATGACCTTCTCTGATTGGGAGTTTGCTCCGAGTGTAGGCACAGCTGCTCTGTGGTTACGGTCACTCCTAGCCTGTCCAGCTGTGGCCAGTATCCCCAAGAGTTTGTTTCCAGCATCCTTGGGTCTTGCTCATTCCCTTAAAGGCCCTTATTTGCTCTGTAGCCCTCATATCTGCCTGAGAAGCCCAATGCCAGCCAGCTAGCTTCTACGTCTCCTGTGGGAATGGACTGGGCCACCATGGGTGGGTGGGAAGTTTCTGGAAACTCCATGGGGGCCAGTCATTCCTCCCTGGCTGTGCCCCATTCCTGCCCATTTGTCCCTTCACAGTGACTCCTCTCTGCCCACAGGGAAAAGTCCCACTCATGGCTGAGCACAGGCTGGTTTACCATGGTGATCGCAGTGGAGCTGTGTGACCACGTGCACGTCTATGGCATGGTCCCCCCTGACCACTGCAGGTGAGCGCTCCAGGGAGAATGCTCAGGGGCGGGTGGCAAGAGTTGAGGGTCCCACTCTTGTAGAGTTGGAACTGTTCTGCAGAGGCAGAGCAGAGTTTCTTTATTAATACCAATTATAAGACACACCCTCTAGGAGACAGCTGCATTTTACTGGCTGCTGGTCAAATCTCAGGAGCATGTACAGTTATTACTCTGTACCTCACAGCATAAGGGATAGCTGCTGTCATTCTCCCCATTTCATAGATGCAGAACATTGAGGCACATGCTTAAGTGCTTGCTTGCTTTTTTTTTGAGACAGATTCTCACTGTGAAATTCAGGCTGGCCTTGAACTCAGTTTGTAGCCCAGGCTGGTCTTGAACTTGCAATGATCCTCCTGCCTCAGACTCCTGAGTGCTGGGATCACAGTTGTGGGCCACCATGCCTCAAGCTGATGCAGATGCTTTCTGAGTGTCTCATAAATAGCAAGGGCTGGACCCAGGCTTCAGAGCCCATGGTTTATTTTTGGTTTGGTTTTGTTTTATAGCATTGGATTGAGCCCAGGTACTCTGCATCCCTGGCCCTTTCTTATTTTTATTTTTTGGAGAGAGTGTCTTGCAAAGTCTCTAAATTACCCAGGGTGGCCAAGCCTGTAATCCCAGCACTCTAGAGGTTGAGGTAAAAAGATTAATGCAAATCCAAGACCAGCCTAGGCTACAAAGTGAGTTCAAGACCAGCCTGAACTGCATAGGGAGACCCTGTCTCATAAAAAAATAAAAAGTTTGATGGGTATAAACCTAATCTACCCTATACCCATCTCACAGATGGGAAGGGAAAGGAAGAGGAGGGCTTACCTCCACTGATGGCAGGTGAGGGGCTGAAAGGGAAGGGTGTCTTTCCTGGATCCCCACCTGCCCTGACGCCCCCATCTGCTGTGCCCTAGCCAGCGGCCCCGCCTGCAGCGCATGCCCTACCACTACTATGAGCCCAAGGGGCCGGATGAGTGTGTTACCTACATTCAGAACGAACACAGCCGCAAGGGCAACCACCACCGCTTCATCACTGAGAAGAGGGTCTTCTCGTCGTGGGCCCAGCTGTACGGCATCACCTTCTCTCATCCCTCCTGGACCTAGGCCACCCTGCCTGGGGCACCTCCCGAGGGACACAGAAGTGGCTCTGGGCTCAGCCACCTGAGCACAAGCCAGCTTCTGGGCAATCAAGGCTGGTGAGATTGTCTCCCAGCCAATCAGGGCCTTGATGAGGGTATATCCTCCAGCCAAAAAGAGTGCCTGGTGGTATCTCTTGGCCAATCAGGGATTTGGGATTCTATGTGGTTCATTAGGGGTGTCAGGTCTTTCTTGTCCAGACAGGGTCTGAGCATAGTCAATCAGGGTACAGGGGTTTTTCTGAGTCAAGTCTGAGGCTAAGGATGTGTCCTTTCCCATGAGGCCTTGGTTCAGAGCCCCAGGAATGGATTCCAAATCACCCCTATTCACCTGCGACCATAGAGTCCTTCCCAAGGAACCAGGAATAGTGTTGGCCCCCCAGTTCCTCCGTCACAGGGAGACAGTGTGTGGGCAGAAGCTAACTGGAAGCCGGGCCAGAGTCTGGGAGTTGTGGGGAGGCCCATGAAGTGGGAGGCTAGTACCCAGATCTAGGCTCCTCTCAAGTGACCTTGGACAAACCCCTCCCATCCCTGGGCACCGTTCTGCCCACATCGGGGTCTACTGTGGTGTCTGAGACCTTCCCACCTCCCCCACCCAGCACATCGTCCTGAGATGGGAACCCCAACTCCTTACTGGCAGGCTCAGAGGCCTGGGGGAGCTGGGGTGCACGTCTTCACCTTCCAGGAAAACTTAGGGCATTTTTGCGCAAACTTCCCAGGGTTGGGGGACACCAAGAGGAGTGGAATAAACCTTAAGCCAGTTTCTTGGCCCCTCAGCCCAGCTGCCATTAGCTTGGCTCTTAAAGGGCCAGGTCTCCTTTTCTACCCTCTAGCAGGAGGGGCCCCCACCTGTTAGAGACCCTGGGGCTGAGAAAAGAGGATCCCAGCACACTGGGATTCCATGTGGCCTTTGTCTGGCAATGTCGAGGGCTTCTGGGGTTCTCCCCCACCCAGCAGGGCATGGGATGGCTATTACCTGGGGCCTGGGATGGCTGTCACCTGGGCTCTGTCCCCTGAAGCAGGCACTTTACTAAAGCTGGTGCTGGGTGGGGTTTGTTTTCCTCCTGCTGTTCCAGAGCTGGGAAGGGAAGGGCTTCCGGAAAAAGGCTGTGGAGTGGGAGGAATCCGAAGCGGAAGCCAGCTGCAAGTCATTGCACATTGGGGTGACACAGGATGGTGACAGCCCCAGACTTGGTTTTGTAATGATTTGTACAGGAATAAACACACCTAAGCTCCAGCTCTGTGTCCTGTATCTGCCCTCTCTGTCCCCCCTGGGGGTGTCCTGCAGACCGAGTCTATAGCCCCTGACTGGGAGCTTACCAGGGGTAACTGATCAGCTCAGTCAGCTGGCTGATGAGTGTGGGGTCCAGCCCTGAACCTGGGCAAGTGAAGTCACCCCGAGAGCCATAGTTCCCTCCTGAGAGCTATCAGTGCCCTCAAGCAGCTCAGGCTAAGGGGCGCACCAAGACTTCCCGCAGAGTTTGGGGAGGGCATCTGGGCCACAGAAAGCAGCTGTGGGGAAAAGGAAGACCAGGATGGTGAGCAGAGGTAGAGGAAGGTGGCAGGTGGGGCGGCAGAGACATCAGCTCTGTGGCCTGGGGCATGAAGGGCAGGGACATTTCCTGCCAGGCCAGCGTGTGTGTAGCTGACTATAAGCCTTGGCAGGGGTGTGGGGAGCAGGACTCAGTGGTGCAGCCAGCCTCTTCAGCTCAAGGGCTCTTTATTCCAGATTGGCAGGAGGCAAGAGGTCTGGAGATTACAACTGTTTCAGCAGATAAGATGCCCTAGGGATCCAGACCTAACAAAGGGTGACTGTGTACGACAAGGTTATACAGCCTGCTGGGACCTCCCAGGGGCTGCTGGGGATGGAAAGAGCTCTCCTGGGCAGCAGGCCAACCAGGAGGGTGGGCTGCTGGTCCTGCATTTGTCTCTTATTGCACAGGTCCCTAAGTAACCACTCACCATATTAGGTGCCGTTTAGCATTGGGTGGGGGAGTGTTGGGTAGGAGGAACGCAGACACCCAGACACCCTCAGCCTGGCTGCCATGACAGCATGGGAGGGAACAATGAGAGATAAGACTCTCCGGCAAAAGGCCAGGAATGGGCAAAAGGCCAGGAATGTCAGTCGAGGGTGGCCAGGCCTCCATCCACCCTTCCTGCCGGCAGAATTCCAGTGGGACAGCTGAGGAGTGTGGCGGTGCACGCCCGTCACCCCCAGCACTCTGGAAGGCCAGTCAGGAGGATTGCAAGTTCAAGCCCAGAATGGGCACCTCAGTGACTTGGTGACACCTGATCTCAAAACCAGAAAAATTAAAATAGAAGAAAGGGCCGACCAGAGGAGGTAAAGAAGGCAGTCAGGAGGGTGCAGGAGAGGTGGGAACTCTTTTATGTTGTGCACTGGGTGCATAGAGCCCGTGTGGTCTGGAGGTGGGGTGCACTTCCAGCTCCCCCAGAGGCTTCTAGCAACCTGGGCATAGGCATCAGCTTCTGGGTAGGGTGTCCTGGACTTCCCAGTCCTCTGTCTGCCCACAGGTGATGGATAGGAGGGTGCCCTGGGGCTCAGTTGCTGGGTGTGAGCCCCAGAGAAATTCATCTGAGGGTCAAGAGGTGAGACTTGGGCTCCGGACATGGAGCCCAGGAGGCAGCGGCCACATTCTCCTCCCCAGCCCTTGCCCCAGTTCAGCTGGGAGGAGACAGCCCCCTGCCGACAGTGGCATCACTAAGCCTGAGGCATCATGACCCTCTTGCTTCTGAAACCTCCACTGGCTCCCACTCACTGGCCAGGACCAGCATCTTTCCTTTTGTGTCCTCTAGGGCCACCTGCACCTGTACCTGCACCTGTGTCCTTCCTTGGTGACCCTCAAGGCCTTGCCCCTGCATCTCTTTATGACTGCACACCCAGGGGCAGCTGCTGCTCTCAGGGCTTCCTGCAATGTCAGGGACTTCGGTGCCACCAGCTGGGCCGCCTGGTGCAGCAGAGCCCAGCCCACTCCCTCAGGCCAGGTTGCCAGATCATTCACCGACTTCAGCCCAGTCTTGGAATTCTGTCTTTAACCAAAATATTTTTTTAAACCTGCTTTCATTTTTATTTGTTTATGTTTTTAGAAATTTTCTTATAAAATAAATCATACAATAAATCATACAGAGGTTATAGAGTAGCAAATGAAACATTGCCCATTCTAGTGTTGGTTAAAATTCCAGGGTGAAATTTCCTAGTTTTTTTCCTCCAAATATTTTTTTCTCTCCTTTTTTTTTTGTCTTTTTCGTTTTTAGCGGTACCAGGGATCGAACTCATGACCGCACACTTGCAAGGTAGGCACTTATGCTGCTGAGCTAAATCCCCAGCCCCTACCTACCTTTTTTCTTTCTTCTTTTTAGATTATATCTGGGAATGAAAACACTGAGATTTTAATATCCCAGCATTTGTGGAAAATCCACAGGGTATATGCAAATAAAATAATTAATTCAGGTACTTTACATTTTTTTCTATGAAAAATTACTTTTAAACTCATGGTTAATATGTATGTATATATATATGTATATAAAAATAGTTAAGATAGTTTTTTTTTTCCTTTTTTTGAGACAGGGTCTCGATATGCAGTTCAGGCTGGCCTTAAGCTCATTTTGTAGCCCAGGCTAGTCTGGATCTTGAAATGATCCTCCCACCTCAGCCTCCTGAGTGCTGGGATTACAGGCGTGAGCCACCACGCCCGGCCCAAGATAGTTTTATATACTACTGATTTCTCAAGTTTACTGAAGAGAAAGCTTTGTGCCGATATTGTTCGGACTAATTGAACACAAATGCCTTGGGCTCTGGGCAAATGATTTGGGGTTGACAGTGTGCAGTGCATGTACCTTTGTTGCCCTCTGATTGATGTGTTTTGAGATTTTGGTTTTTTTCTCTTTGAAATAAAATAGATTTGAAAAAAAATCATGATTTAAAAACATATCATTAAATTTATCATCTTAACTATTTTTGTCTTTTTGAGACAGGGTCTCACTATGCAGTTCATGCTGGCCTTGAACTCACTTTGTAGCTCAGGCCGGCCTTGAACTCACAAGGATCCTCTTGCTGCAGCCTTCCAAGTGCTGGGATTACAGGATGCACGACTGTGCCTGACTCTTGCAACAAACATTCACTGTTTTCATCTTGCAGAGCCAAAACTGTGTCATATTAACACTGACACCCTTTCTCTACTCCCACTCCTCTTTCCCTACCAACCACCATTGTGCTTTCTGTTTCTATGAGTCTAACTAATATGTGGGTGTGTGTAACTATATGATGTTTGTCTGCTTTTTTATTGGCTTTTTTTAAAACAGGGTATTGCTATATAGTCCAGGCTGACTTTGAACTTGCATATTCCTGCCTCAGTCTCCCATATGCTAGGCTTACAGGCATATGTGTCCCCCTGCTCCATGTCTTACTATAATTACGGTTTTGCAGGGGAGGGTTTTGTTTTCTTTTCTTTTTTTTTTTTTTCTTACTTTCTTTTTTTGTATTGGGGATCGAACTCACAACAGATCGATTGCAAGGCAGGTGCTCATGCTGCTGAGCTAAATGCCTGGCCCTTTGTTTTGAGATAGGATTTTGAACTTGGTTCTGTGGCCCAGGTGGGTCTCAAACTTGCAGTGATCCTGCATCAACCTCCCATGTGCTAGGTTACAGATATATGCCACCACACTGGCTGGTTGGTTTGTTTTTTTGTTTTGTTTTTTTACTCACTATGTAGTTCAGGCTGGCCTTGAACTGACTATGTAGCCCAAACTGGCCCTGAACTCATAACAATCCTCTTGCCCCAGCTGTTGAAGTGCTGGGATTATGGGTGTGCACCACAACACCTGGAACTTTTTTTTTTGAGGTAAGAGTCTCACTCTATAGTTCAGGCTGGCCTTGAATCACTAGACAGCCAGGGCTAGCCTCAAACTCTTGGCAATCTTGCTTCAGCCTTCCAAGTGCTAAAATTACAGGCATACTCCACCATGCCCCACTGTGATTGGCTGATTTTATTTAGCCTAATATCCTCCAGGTTCCTCCCTGTTTAAATTATTTTATAAAGTAATATAGTTTTATAGAAAAATCAGAAAAGCTCATAGGGAGAGCTGGGAATATAGCTTGGTGACACAGAACCTGCTTGGCAAGTGGAAGGTCCTGTGTTCAATTTCCGGTTTAAAAAAAAAAGCTTGTGGAGCTAGAGGTGGTGGTGCCTGCCTATGATCTCAGCTACTCAGGAGAGTAAGGCAGGAAGATCACAAGTTCAAACCTAGCCTGGGCAACTTCAAAACCTAGGCAGACTCTGTCTCCAAGAATAAAAAGAACTGAGGATGTGGCTCTGGCAAAGCTAGCATGCATGAGGCTCTGGGAGTGAACCCCAGGAGAGCTAAATAAGTAGGGAAAGTCTGACTTCCAACGAGGAGGTCACACATACACATCTCCCCTCGCTGTTCTGTGTCATCTCACCTGCTCCAAGATGGTATCATTTCTGCAATGATGAAGATCAAACCCACTGCCTCACAGACACCAGGAAAGCCCGAGCACCGAACCACATCCCAGTTCTTTTTATTTTATTTCAAGACACACTTTTGTGGTGCCAGGGATTTAGCTCAACAGCACAAGTGCCTGCCTTGTGAGTGTGAGGTTGTGAGTTCGATCCCTGGTACCAAAAAGAGAAAAAAAAAAAAAAAAAAAAAAAAGACATGCTTTTGCCAAATTACTCAGGCTGGCCTCAAACTTGCCACCCTCCTGCCTCAGGATGCACCCTGCCTCCAAGTAGGTCATGGGCTGCACGCCCTGTTTCCATAATAAGACAAGGTGATTTTAACCTTGCAGAGGTAAAGTGAAAAAAAATAAAATTCAGGAGACACACATTATACACTCATGCACACCTACGTGTCTAGACAAATTTTTATGCAGCTAGGGTTTTGTATATTTCTCACCAGCACTGTGCCAGTGCAGGATGTCCTGCCCTCCAGCACCTTCCCACCTCTCAGGAGTCACCAACCCTCACCTCTGGGTGTGCCACCTCCCACTTAGTCCTAACTGGAACTTTCTTGCCCTGATTTGGTGCCTACATGTTTCTTTAGGGAAATTTCTAGAAGCAGAAGGGCACATTGGAAAGCCTCACTGTGTAACCAACCTTGAAGTTAGGGTAATCCCGCCTCAGCCTCTCAAGTGCTGAAATAGTGTGTGTCACCACAACTGGCAGAAAGTTTTGATTTACACTGTCAATTTCCTTTCCCCCAAAGGTTGTGCGATGCACGTGCCCATATGTGGCTTCTTTCTTCCCCTCGAAGACTGGGGATTGAAACCAGGGCCTTTGGGGCTGGGGATTTAGCTCAGCGGCATAAGCGCCTGCCTTGCAAGCAGGTAGTCCTGAGTTTGATCCCTGGTACAGATAAAAAAGAAAAAAAAGGAATGTCCTGAAATCAGGGCCTTTGCACTGCCAACTTTTTTATTTTTTTGTTTTGAGACAGGGTCTCCATAAGTCAATAAACTGACCAAGCTGGGCTCAAACGTGTGATCCTCCTGCCTCAGCCTCCCAGAGGGCTGGAATTACAGCAAGCAGTACCATGCCCAGCTCAAGGCTGGCTCTTTACAGCCCACCCAACCAGCAGGTTTTTGGGACCTGGGGGTTGTTCAGGGCCGTAGGAAAGAGGAGCGGAGTGGGGTGTTGGCGCAGGACCCTTGGACAGCGTCTGAAGAGGGGCCGGGGGACCTTGGCACCGCTGCGCTGCGGGATGTTGCACAAGGAGCTTCACCTCTCTGGGCGTTTAGTTTCCCCCTCCGTTTCTTGCCGCCCCCACCCCGAGTGGTGTGGGTGCAGCGGCAGAGACAGACGCAGACTCGGAGCCGCCCCGCTTTCCCCCAGGTCCCGCCTGCGCCCCCACCCCGTCCGCCCCCCGCCCTCCGCCCCCAGCTCCCCTCTCCCCGCTGCCGAGCGCAGGGCCGGCTCCCGGCATGCCGCGCGCCGACAGCCTTATAAATAGTCGCCTCTGCGGGCACGGCGAGGACGGCAGGGCACGCGCTGGCCCCGCGCCCACCGCACCCTCCCCAGGTCAGTGCGCGACCTCCGGACCACGGGGGCGTCTCCGCAGGGCGTGGGGACGCGCCCTCCCCCTGCGTCCGCGCCAGGCGACCCTCGCGTGGCGCGTGTGGTGGTTTTCCTCTGCGGGGTCTGCCCGCCGTGTTCCCGGGGCTCTGGGGCTTGTGCCACACCGCATGTGCTTTTGTTGATCTCTGTGTGGCGGTGGAAGCGGGTGGGACAGGGCTGGGGGATGCTGCCCCTCCCAGTCTGCCAGGCTCCTTTGTCCCCTCTGCACTCCTGGGCTCCCTGCCCTTGGCTCAGTTGGTCTCAGTTGGGGCCTAGGGTGGCCCAGCTACCTGCCTGAGCGCCTGGGCAGGAGCAGCCTGTGTGCCCTCCCCTCCTGTTGCTTGGATGTTGGGAACCCCCAGTTGCCACCCAGGCGCAGCCCCAGGGATGCTGAGCCCCAACCCTGAGGACCTTCCCGCTGCTCACCCAGGATCCTCCAGCAGCCCCTGTCCAGCCCAGAGAGGGACCCTGGCTGCCCAAGGTCACACAACAGAACGATTGATCCACTTGGGATTTGAACCCCAGCCAGTCACCAACGACTGGGAAGGCTGCTCTCACATCCAGCTCTGGGAGAGCCGGGCCTTGCTCTGGCTTTGCCTTGTGTTGGGGTTAAGTCACTGTCCCCTGGGCCTCAGCCACCTAGCAGACCACCCTGTCATCCTGGGAGACTCTGGGGCCCACGCATGGGGACCTTATAAGGCCAGGGTGCCCAGCCCGTAACCCAACTCCATCCTGGACCCTAGGCCTCTTCGAGGCCTCCTCAGAGTTATTTTGGACCAAGGAAGTAGCAGGTGCCTGAAAGGCCCAGGGACTTAGGTTACTGGGAGGGAGGAGGGTAAGAGGGGCCACCTCTTGGGGCCTTGTGTGGCTGTCCCTGGCCTGGGAACAGTCTCCCTTCCCTGGGCAGTTGTCGAGGGGCACTTGGCAGCTCACACCCCTCCTTGAGCACACTCAGCAGGACTGGGGCCATAACTCATGCCCATGGACAGTACCACCATCAGCAAAGCCACCCAAGGTCCTGCCTGTGGGGCCAGGGCCAGCAGACCTGAGTTTGACCCCTGAGCTGGGCCTTGGAGCTCCCTGCCCTCTCCAAGCCTTAGCTCCTTCCCCAGATGAGGAGGTCCCCCGCCCTGCACTGAGCTCTGGCCAGCCCCAGTCCCAGTGGGAATCCAGGGTGAAGTCCAGGAAGGCTTCCTAGAGGCGGTGAGGCCTGAGCTAAAGCCTAAGTTTTGGCCACTGGAAGAGGACATCCAGGTGGCTGGGTACAACATCTGCAGAGGTCTCAGGGGGCCTTCACCGTGGTGAATGAAGGAGCTCCAAGCAGGTTCATTGGCCGTGTGTAAAGCTGCAGGGAGTGGCAGATGACACGCTACCCTGGTCCTGTCCATGTGCGGAGGCTCCAGGCTTATTTAGGAGCCCGGGGGTCCACATATGAAGGGTTGTGAAGTGACTTGGTGTGGCACTGACCACCTGGTGGGCTGCAGTGCCAGCCAGTGCGTGGGACAAGGCCGCCGTGGTGGGAGGTTGATGGGAGGGAGATTTGGGGACCTTTGTGGGACGTAAGTGCATAACAAGAGGTAGATGTGGGGTGTCTTCCAATGAGGTTTCTTTTAGGCTGGACAGGCACCAGGGATGCCGGAGTCTACGCAGGCACTGAGACATTAGGGGGGCCCTGGGGCCTGGCAGGGGGTCAGGAGTGGAGGGGGTCCTGCAGCCTGAAACCAGGAGTAGAAGCTGGGGTGGGGGTCAGGTCGGGTGCCGGCTGGAGTGGGGGTTGGGGTAGGGTGGGGAGAAGGTGAGGCAGGTGGAGAGGTGAGCTCTGCAGAGTCAGGTGGGGGCGGCTGTGGCAGCAGAGTGGGATTGCAGGGGGATGGGGCAGGTGGGGGCCAGCAAGCGATGGAGGATGGGGGCCTCCACAAGGTGGGAGCCTGGGCCTAACTCACTCTCAAGATGCTGGGCTCCGTGGTGCACCTCTGTCATCCTAGGGTTCTGGGAGGCTGAGGCAGGAGGATCACTGGGCTAAGCCTGCGCAACTTGGTGACTTAGTGAGAGCCTGTCTTAAAATTTAGAAAACAATAAAAAGAAATGGACCTAGTGGCACACACCTGTAATCATAGCACTGCACTCAGGAGGCCGAAGCAGGAAGATTGCTGCAAGTTCGAAGCAGCACGGGCTACCTAGTGAGTTCAAGGCCAGCCTTAACTGCACAGTGAGATCCTGTTTTAAAATAAATAACTTTGGGGCTGGGGATTTAGCTCAGCGGCATAAGCGCCTGCCTTGCAAGCAGGCAGTCGTGAGTTTGATCTCCGGTACCGATAAAAAGGAAAAAGAAAAAAAAAGATCAAAATAAATAACTGTTTAGAAGGAGCTGAGGGTAGCTCAGGGCAGAGGTCTTGAGTTCAATCTCCAGGACTAAAGAAAACGAGAAAAAGGTTGTGTTCCTGTTCGAGGCAACTTTATTCCTCCACCTCTGGCTCCTGGGACCCTTGGTGCAACAATGTCTGGAGCAGTCCTGCCCAGATGCAGCCGCTCATCTGCCCAGCTCCACTGCCTCCCACCTCCTCCCGGGGCCCTGGAGACTGTCGTCAAGGCGGCTAGGCTGACGCTGGCCCTGCACCCTCTAGCCTGGGTGTTGCCACGGGAGCGAGCAACTTGGGCAGACGCTGCCCTTGCCCGCACGCCCTTCGTGGGCTGAGGACGGAGCAGAGCAGGAGCGGCTGGCTGCCCACCTAGCACGGAGGAAGCAGTGAAGCCGGCAAGGAAAACAACTTTCCCTGCGGTCACCAGCAGCCCTCTGCCGTCACGCTGGGCGTTAGGCCTGGCACTCCTGCTGTGGACACTGCCCCCTGGGTGTGGCCTGGCAGAGGCCTGGGCTCAGGAGGACCCCTCAGCCCTGCTGTGCCTTTCCTTGCAGCGTCCTGACCTGGTTCCCGGGCCCGAGACCTCGGCAGGATGGAAGGTATGAAGCCCCCTCTCTTCCCATGGCGGCCCAGGCCTCAGTGTGCAGAGTATTGGGGAACACCCCAGGGAGACCCCCGGGAGGATGAGGGGCTGTCACCATCCTCCACCTTCTCCCAAGGAGTAGCAGCATCAAGATTAAGATGCACCGAGGTCTCCAGCCCCTGGCTCACCTCCATGCTGGGATTTTACAGTAACTCCCCTCCCTTCCCTCCAGCGAGGTCAGCCAAGTTCCTGTTCCTCCAGGAGACTCAGTTTCCCTGTTGATCCAGGAGATGGGCCTTAAGGACAGCTTGGGCCCTCTTGGCTCTTATGTGCTGGGACCCGGAGGCAGACATGAGCCTGGAACAGGCTGGCCAAGCTTCTGGCAGCCCTTTCACTCAGCGCCTGGCACTGGGCCTTGGGCTGGGTGGCTCTTAAAGGGGCCCTGCCAGCCTGGCCATTACGACTGTCTGAAGCCGGCATCATCCCGCAGGCTCTAGGACCATGAAGTCAGCTGCCAGGGGCTGTGGTCTCCCTCAGCCCCAAGCTTGTGCGCTTCACACAAGGAGAAGTTATTTCTCTGACATCTGCTATAAGCTCCCAGCCTCCTGGGCCCCAGGATCCCTATGAGCTGCCACACCTACTTACTCCTAGGTCAGGGGCAGAACAGAGAGTGTGGGTATTTCTTTCCTAGGTCGTACAGCAAGGTGAGATGTGACTGGACTTGGGAGGTCCTGGAGGTCCTAAAAGAGAGTGCTGGTGTTCTTTGTTTTTATTTTGTCTGAGACAGGGTATTCTTTGTTTTTATTTTGTCTGAGACAGGGTCTCCCTATGCAGTTCAGACTGGCTTTTGAGCTTACTTTGTAGCCCAGGCTGGTTTCAAACTTGCAATGATCCTTCTGACTCAGCCCCACAAATGCTGAGTTTACAGGCATTCACCATCATGCCCTGCTGGATTCTGGTTTTGCTTCTGACATCCATTGAACAGACCTCTCCCTCTCTGGGCCTCAGTTTCTCTCTGCCCAGTGGGGCTTCGAGTGCTAAAGGGGCCAAGTTTGGAACACGAGCTCGCTTCCCTGTCCAAGAAAGAATTTCACATGCCCATCTCCTTGGCAACCATCTCCACGGCAACATATGTTGTGGTTGCCAACTCCACAGTAGTAGTGCCAAGGCAGGCGGGCAATGGGCAGGGACAGGCTTGGGAGGGGACAGGCAGGGGACACAGCAAGACAAGATCATGGGCTGCTATTCATCTAGGGACCCTCGAAGTGAGGGGGACCAACAGGCCAGAGGTGATGCCCCGCACAGGGAGGTATCGTGGGATTTGATGCTCTGACCCTTGGCTGTGCTGAGTTCTAACCCCCAGGTCTTAGGCTCAGCGCCTCCGGGGGTTGCAGACTACTGAGCTCGGCTCCCCTTTCTCTCCCTCAGAGAAGCTAAAGAACACGAAGATCATCTTTGTGGTGGGTGAGTTGTGGGCAGTGGTACAGACACTGATGGAGCCCAGCAGCCCTTGTTCCCTCCCTGGGTCCCCTTCCTGGGGTTTCTGAATGGGCGGGCACTTGCAGGCGGGCCAGGTTCGGGGAAGGGCACCCAGTGTGAGAAGATCGTGCAGAAGTATGGCTACACCCACCTCTCCACCGGCGACCTCCTGCGCGCAGAGGTCAGCTCAGGCTCGGCCAGGGGCAAGAAGCTGTCAGAAATCATGGAGAAGGGGCAGCTGGTGCCGCTGGTGAGTCACAGGGGGCGGGGCTGAGCGTGTGACCTGGAAAGGTGGGCCCTGACCCTCTGTGGCTGCCCATTGCTCCTCCAGGAGTTCCCAAGGCCCTGAGGGACCCTACCCTTTCTTCCCCTCAAACCAGCCACACTACTTCCTGCCCAGATAGAGCTGTCCTCATTGTTTTGCTTTGTTTTGTTTTGTGTTTTGAGACAGGGTCTCCCTGTGTAGTTCAGGCTGGCCTTGAAGTCACTGTGTAGCCCAGGCTGGTGATCCTCCTGCCTCAGCCTCTCAAATGCTGGGATTACAGTTGTGGGCCACACCATGCCCAGCAAAATCATGTCCAGTGTATTTTGTTTATTTCTATTTTTGCTACTGGGGCTATGAATGCAGGGCTTCATGAATATTAGGGGAGCACACCACCACTGAGCTACACCCGCAGCCCATGAGACCCCCCCTCACTTCACACTGCAGCAGCCCGAGTTGCCCAGACTACCTGCATCGCACTGGGAAACTTCAGCCAGCTCTGTCACTTCTGGTCCCTTCCCCAGCCTGTGAGCTTCCCGAGAGCAGGGAAGGGCCTCTGTCTCCAGCCAGAGGAGACCTTCAGAGGACAGGGAGATTGGGCCCCTCTGTGTGTACCCAAGGGGGTGTCCAGGATGTGGGCTGGGGCTGGGAAGGAAGGCTCAGGCCCTCGCTGCCATGCTGCCTGCAGGAGACAGTGCTGGACATGCTCCGAGATGCCATGGTGGCCAAGGTGGATTCTTCCAAAGGCTTCCTGATCGACGGCTACCCCCGGGAGGTGCAGCAGGGAGAGGAGTTTGAGCGGCGGGTAAGGCACGTGGCTGGGCAATGTGGGGGACAAAAGTTCTGGCCTGCCAGGAGCCTCGAATGCCAAGGACAGACATCTGCCCCCTTCCTCAGGCTATCGCCAGGCCTTGGGGTGATGGCTCCGGGAGCAGTGCCCACTGCGATCATTGTCACAGGGTGTACATGAACACACACATGCACAGCAGCCCCTGTGTCCACTTGAGCACATGCACATGTGAGCATACACAGGTCCCATGAGCACACCCACCCAAGGCCACAGATGCATGCATGACACATAGGTGTGCACAAGCAGGGCTATACACGTGTACATACACATTGGTCCACGCATGTATGCACACAGATGTGTTCAGGGGCATACGGAGGACTCAGGTGGGGTTGCAAGTACCCAGGAACTCTAGAAAATGGGGTGAGCGCCAGGTGTGGCGGTGCCCTTGGGAGGCTTAGGCAGGAGGATCAGCAGCCTGGACTACATGGTGACTTCAGGGCCAGCCTGAACTATATAGTGAGATCCTGTAAGAGAGACAGGCAAACAGACAGACAGACAGACAGACAGACAGACAGACAGAAACAGAGAGAGAGAAGAAAGAGAAAGGGGAAGGAAAGGAAATGGGGTCAGTGTCGTCCCTGTGTCCCTGGGCCTGTTGTGGCCCCTGCCCGGCTGGACAGCCTGGGAAGCTGATCATTTCAGCTCTGAACACCAGGGGGCGCCAGGGCCTCACTGAAGGACAAAGGGTTGGAGGTGACTCTCCATGTTCAGGCTGGGGGCCCAGGGCTCTCCTGGGGCACAGCAGTGACCACACTCACCCCTCCCAGGCTAAAGGCCGATTGTTTTGATAGGGAAACTGAGGCCTCACAGACAGAGCCTTACCTAAGCCTGCCCCACAAGAAAGGCCCAGCTGCCCCACCACTGCTGCCCTGGGGCCCCGGAGAAAGTGAGATTCTATGTGGAGCAGAGGCAGCACCCCATCCTCACCCACCAGGGACAGGGGGGATTGCAGCTAGGGGGACAGAGGCCCCTGAGGACCAGCAGGCTGCCAGGGTCCAACAGCCACACATAGCCAAGGAGCCAGGGACACAGAAAAAGAAAATAACTTGTGCAAAGGGCTTTGATAGGAGGGAGATAAAAGGGACTAGAGGAGCAAGGTCTGGGGCCTGGGGTCGGTGGGGTGGCAGCTGGGAGGAGACATCTGGACGTGGGACCCTGGTGGGATGCTGGTGAGGCGGGTTGGGGTCAGCCCTGTGGGAAGGGGCTCCTAGCAGAGGGGACAGTGTGGGTCTCCTGTGGAAAGGAGATGGGCGAGGGAGCAGAGGGCCGGGCAGGCAGGGCGTGACCACGCGTGTCAGGACCTTGGGCTGCCTCCTGAGGGCCCCGGAGAGGCCTGAGCAGAGGAGGTGCAGGGTCTCAGAACGTCTAAGACTGCAGGGAGGGATGGAAGAGCCATGTGGGTGTCTCACAGGGGGCCCCAGAGGTGGGAAGACTGGGGGGAGGATGACCCCAGAGGGCAGAAACGGGGTCCCTGTGACATGGTGCCCCCCACAGATTGGCCAGCCCACGCTGCTGCTGTATGTGGACGCAGGCCCTGAGACCATGACACAGCGGCTCCTGAAGCGTGGGGAGACCAGCGGGCGCGTGGATGACAATGAGGAGACCATCAAGAAGCGGCTGGAGACCTATTACAAGGCCACCGAGCCTGTCATTGCCTTCTATGAGAAGCGTGGCATCGTCCGCAAGGTGCTCAGCTGACTCACTATGCGACCTCAGGCCAGCCCAGCTCACTGAGCCTCAGTTTTCCCCACTAGTTCAGTGACAAGCTGCTATTCGCCATAGCTGGGCTCAGGGAGCCAGGGCCAGTCTTTGAGGGGGAGATTAGTCCTGCCTCAGAGACCCCAGCCGTTGCCATTGCTCCGGACCTAACAGCCCGTCTCCCCGCAGGTCAATGCTGAAGGCTCCGTGGACAGTGTCTTCACCCAGGTGTGCACCCACCTGGATGCCCTCAAGTAGCCACGTTGGAGCCCCACTCCCCCCACCCGGCCCTGGCCCTCGCTCGCCAGCCACCACACACAGAAGAGGCCACTTGGTCCTGAGGCGGGCAGGTGCCGAGCACTAAAGGCATTTCCAAGGACGTTTGGTTTTCCTCCTCTTTCTTTGCTTCCAGTGGGAGTTGATTCCTACAGGGCCAGAGTCTCCAGCCCATCGTTTGCACCTCAGCCAGCCCCTCCTCCTGCCGGGGACCCGGCCCTTCTTCACCTAGCCATGCCCAGCACAGGCACCTGGGGGTCTGGGCTCTCACATTCCTTGCCCAGTGCAGTGTGGCCTCAGCCCTGACCTCTCAGCTCCCCAAGCTGTGTCTTCCATGCTGACCACGTGGGGCCTGAACGGCAGCAGCAGCAGCAGCAGCAAGGTCCTGGCTAGGTGGCCCCCTGGGCAGTGGGTGACACGTGCCAGCCAGCTGAAGATGCAGTGAATCAGTCCCCTGGTGCCCGACACTGTGGGGGTCTGAAAAGGGCATGTGTGCCAGGCATAGTGGCACACACCTGTGATCCCAGCCCTCAGGAGGCTGAGGCAGGAGGATCTCTGAGTTCAAGGGTAGCCTGAGCTATATAGCAAGACCCTGTCTCAGAAAAAAAAAAAGCAGGGGAGTGAATGAACGAATGAATGAATGGGGAGTCATGTTAGGGTCCTTTTCTGAGGACAGGTGATCTGAAGCCCCTACTGTGGCCCTGCCCAGATTCTAGCCACCTTCTGCGACCTATTTCCAATCTAAAACATATTTGGTGTCCTCTGCCATCACCTTCAGCTCAGGACAGGGACACGCTGAACAAGGTTAGGGGTTGGCAGTGACCTTCAGAACCAGACGTGCTGGCGACTTCACCCAGGTTCGGGAGGACCAGTGTCCCTCCTGTGCCTCCTCACTTGTTGGCTGTGTCACCCAGGAAGCCTCAGTGTGGTGCTCACCGACTCCCAGCCCAGACGGACACCCATGTGGGGCGAAGGAGCTCATTTTGGTCCTCTCTAGTGACAGTGGCTCTGCTTCTCCATTGACAGTTATTCAAACTTTGCATTTTTTTTTGGTACCAGGGATCGAACTCATGACCTTATGCTTGCCATCCAGGTGCTTATGCCGCTGAGCTAAACCCCCAGCCCCTCAAACTTTCCTTTAAAATAAAGGTATTTAAATTACAAAGGCGAGTGTGCCAAAGAGGAACGGGGAGTGGAGATGCCCTGAGACTGGGCAGAGGGAGAGGTGGCAGCCGCAAACGTCACTCGAGGCAAACTTCCTATGAGATGGAACGTTGGGGTCCCCTGCGGCTGGTCCCCCTGCTGCCTGTGTGGGCCTCTGGAAGCACCTCGCTCCGCTCACTGTTACAACTGTTACACACGCATGGGGACACACACAGTAGAAGCCTGACACCGTCCCTGGGTGTCCACAGGTGGTGCTTCTGGGAGCCCTCAGTGGGCACTACACTCGAGGGTGCTCATCGGGGACCTGGCGGTGGGAGGTCCCTTGTGTAAAGTGCGTGGTGCCTGTCCCGTCCACCTGCGTCTCTGTGACTCACACTGCCCCACACAGGGCAGTCATTGGACATAGTGCTGCTCTGTGTCACTCACGAGGACAGGAAAAAGTCTGCATGTGTTCTGTGTGTTATGTTTTAAAAACTACGTACTATTCTTGTTTGTTTTTGGTACCAGTGCTCAAACTCATGACCTTGCACTTGCCAAGCGGGTGCTTGTGCCACTGAGCTAAAGCCAAAGCAAAAAATTGTGTATTATTACTTGCAGTACCGGAGATTGAACCCAGGACCTTTGCACTGAGCTATATCTCCAGCCCTTTCATTATTTTTCATTTGGAGATGGTCTCACTAAGTCTACTTGGCCAGATTGGATTTGAACTTGTGATCCTCCTGCCTCAGCCTCCCCGAGTGCTGGGATTACAAACTGGTACCAAACCTTTCTGATACACTGTTGGCTGAACCCACAGATGCAGATCTGGTGAGAGAGAGAGAGAGGGCGCCTCTCACCAGCCAACTGGCACCCACCCATCTAGATAGGTGTCCAGGGAAACTTTTGGGTGAAGATCTCAAAGCACGATTTCAAACAGCAGTGACCACCACTGTATTGTCACCAACACCTTCCTGTGAGAGCTTCCCTCAGGTGTGTCTTTTCTAGGCTCCCCGATGTGCTGGCCCACCCAGCTTCTTAATCCTAGGCTGGGGGGGGGGGCAATGCCTTCACAAATTCCACCGCAGCTACTCAATCCAGGCCATAGCCAGCAGCCCAGTGCTCCAGCTCAGGAGGCTGCGTCCTTGAGCCAGGGGTCACCTGGGAGCAGAGGCCTGAAAAGGGAAGAGGGCAGAGCTCAGTGCAGCTGTGGGAGGAGAGCGCTGATCTACGAGGGAACACAGAGGCCCAGCAGCCACAGCAGCTGGGCACAGGGTACAGAAGCCGGAGACCAGCCAGGGGTGGCAGGGCCTGGAAGTAGCCGGCTCTGCTCCTAAGCACGCTGGGAGGCTGCAAAAGAGGTGGGCTTGGGGCTGGGGATGCAGCTCAGCGGCATAAGCTCCTGCCTTGCAAGCAGGCAGTCTCGAGTTCAATACCTGGTACCGAATTAAAAAAAAAAAAAGAGGTGGGCTTTGGCTGGGGATGCAGCTCAGTGTGCGTAAGGTCCTGGATCAAAACCAAACACACCCTCAGAGAGGTGGCTTATTATTTGGGAGTGGGTTTTTTTGCTGCTGTTTTTGTTTTGAGACAGTCTTGCGATGTAGTTCAGACTGGCTTTGAACTCACTATAAAGCCCCAGCTGGCCTCGAATTTGCATCGATCCTCCTGTCTTGGCCTCCCAGCTACTGGGATTACAAACATGCACCACCATGCCAGGTTCCAACATCTTTTAGAGTAAATTAGAGATATGAAGACAATCTGCCCCTGAAGTAGGACTGCCCGGTCCTGCGCTTCACCGCACTGGCTAACGCTGGCTACCACACAGTCTGTGTGTGGTTTCTCCCAGTTTCTCCAAAACGTGCTGTGCAGTCGGTCTCTCAAAACCAGGATGCGAGATGTGTTTGCTGTGACATGCTTGGTGGGTGTGGCCTTGGGGACCACTGACTGGCCACACCCTTCTTTTCTGGCTCTTTCCCTCTCTGCCTCCTGAGTGCCATGGGTGGGCAGCTTTCCTTCCTTTCCTTGAACCAGCTGACCACAGATCGAAAGCCTCTCACCAAGTTGGCCAGATGGGCTCTGAAGGTCATCCAATCTCTCCTAACAGAGGCCAGGCCATCTTGACAGGTCTTGTTGTGATAGAGGCCTGTCAAGATGGAAGATCTCTCATTTCAGACTCATCTCTTGCTTCCCCCAGTGTCATTTTGTTTGTTTTTTGAGACAGGGTCTCACTAATCAGCTCAGGCTGGCCTCAAACCCATGGCACTCATCCTGCCTCAGCCTCCCAGCTACTGGAACTGCAGGCGTACACCACAGCAGCAGACTTCCTGCTGCCTTTAACCTGCTCCTCCATTCCTCGGTGTTCCTGGTGATTCAGTTGTAAAGCTTCACAGACTCTGGTAGATGCGTGAGGCTCACAGGGGCTTTCAAGCCAGACAGGAAGGCATGACAGTAATCCCACTGCTGTAGTCAGGGATTGTGAGAACAATTACAGTCAGGACACAGAATTTATGTTATTTTATGATGGTCACCCAGAGTATAACACAAGAAAGTGCAGGAAATCTGTCCCCCATACTAAAAGACCCAGAATATTCAGCCAAGGGCCTGGATCCCACAGCAATGTCCTGCATGAGTCCAGATGAAGACCCAGAGCCCATGACAATGCCTCTCACGAGTCCAATTGGAGCTCTAGAGCCCAGAAGGACTCACAACACTTTCTTTTATGGATCCATGCCGGGAAGGCTCAAAGGTCAGCAGAGGAAGCTAGTCTGTGCCAGTGGGGTGAAGGAGTTGTGCTGGTAGGTTGACAGTTCTACGCTGGAGCCAAGAAGTCATGCTCAAAATAAGGACCAGGGCTGCCCTGAAAAGTACCACAGCCATCCTCAGCGACACAGAGGCCCCGAGCTCCTCTGATGATAAGAACAGTCGAGTACATGCCAGAAAGCCAGCATGACAAGTTTGTCCTGGAGATTACACAGCACATGTCTTCCCTTCCAGAGCCAGGAAGTGATGCTCAATGTAAGGACCAGAGCTTCCCCAAAGTGAACCACAGCCATTCTCACCAACAAGGTCCCAAGCTCCTCCAATGACAGTGGTGGATCTCACACGGGGGAAGTAGTCATGACGAGCTCCTCTAGGAGAACCAACGGCTCAAACAGCAACATTTAGAGGAACAACTCCTCACTTCTCCACTCTCTATTTATGCTGGCAACTTCCCTCAGGTGGAACATCTTCGCTCAGCCCCATGCTGATTTAATTCAGCTGGTGTTAAATTGATCACGAGTGGTTTTTCTTTTTTTTTTTTTTTTTTTTTTTTGGTCGGGTTCAAACTCACGACCCCGAGCTTGCATGGCAGGTACTTATGCCGCTGAGCTAAATCCGCAGCCCTTGACTGTTAGGTCTGAGAAGAGGGGAGAAGAGGGGAAGAGGGGAAAGAGGTCCGAGGTCCGTGAAAGTAGTGAGCGGCGGTGGCTTTATTTCGGGAATGCGGGGAGAGGCTACCCCCCCCCCCCGCCGGCCCCGGAGCACAGCATCTTCCACTGCACCCGGGGCCGTGGTTATTCCGGGGAGAGGAGACTGGCGCACTGGCCGCTGGAATCTGGCGATCCTTCTTTCCGGCGATCTCTCTTGGACACGTGGCGTGGGGGAATCTAAATAGCCTAAGCTTAGGGCAGTGCCCTAAGGCCATTAGAGATGCACAGGTATTTCATTGGTGCACAGGTTCTTAGGGATGGGGGTATAGGGTTACAGTCAAGTCTATAGGGGGCGGGGCGGCAGGAGTTTTCTAACTTGGCTGCCGCTTTTCCTGGTTAAAGGGTCCAGTCTGGGCCAGCAACTCTTTCATTGACCACCAGTTTTTAATCCATAACACCCACCTACTTGGTTGGCTGAGGCAAAAAGCTCACGAATTCAAGTCTAGCCTGAGCAATGCAGTGAGTCTGTCTCGAAATAAAAATATGGCTAGGGATATAGCTTAGTAGTAGAGCACCTGCTTATGTGCAGAACCCCAGGAGTGGGGTGGGGTAGGGTGGGAGGGTGGATTCTGATTCAGTAGGTCTAGTTTGGGTGGTGACACCCACACTGCTAGCCCTTGGCCACACTTTGAGTCACCCAGGGAGACCCTGCTTGTTCTGCAAAAGCCCACACAGGATCAGAGGTCACCAAAGCCTTCTTCTGGCCCTGGGGACGGCGCAGCCCAGCTCATTCCCAGGTGCTAAGCAGCCCTGGGGTTAACATCTCGAACTGAGGGGTCTGCACGAGGGGGTGCTTCGGAGTGGGCCCTGCCCCGGATGGTGGCCTCAGATGCCCCCCTGGCAGCACCCTGTGTCCTGGCCCCAGGACTCTGGAGGGCTGGGCTGAGGCGCTGAAGTGGGAGAGGAAGGAAGCAGGGAGCAGAGGAGGCCAAGGCTGTCGCCTCCCAGCCCGAGAGGGGCCTGCGGTAAACAGGAAGGCCTGGAGGCTCCGGCAGGGGCTTCGGAGGGGCGGGGTCGGGATTCGCAGTGGGCAAGCGCAGCCTGTGAGCTCAGGGCTCCTGCTCTGGGAAGCAGCCCAGAGAGGTTGTGCGGCTTCCCCGGGTCACTCAGCAGCTAGACTCGGCCCGCCTTTCCTCTTTCTGCCTCTCCCTGGGCCCTAGTGCGGGGCCTCCTGCCTGGTTTGCTCAGCGGTGCTCACAGGGCGCTGGCCCTTCTTGGGCCACAGTTTTCCTCACTGTGAGCTCAGTACCCTTAACAGCAGAGGTTCTGCCGCCCTGGCAGTCTTAGGGGGCTCTTCAGAACTTGGGGAGCAGGTTTCACCAGGAAACCCAGCCTCACCCAGGGCCATCACCCACAGGGCCCTGGGGTACCTTCCCTGGGGGAAAAGAAAGTGACTTTGAGGAGTCTTGCTCCTCTAGCACAGGCAGAATCCAGTGGGACCTTGAGATCTTTTATATTGTCATCATTTTGTTTTTGTAGTTTTTTGGGACCGGATCTCCCTGTGTATCCTAGGCTGGCCCAAGCTAGTGGTGATCCTCCTGCCTCAGCCTCCCCA